TTTACCTGCACTTCCAGTTTTGGCACCATTATCTCACTCATTGAGTTTTGCAAGAGCGAAGAGGAGGGCGGGTCCACCTTCATCATGTAGCCAATCAAATGAGCTTCTGGCTGACATTCGATTCACTATTATCTGATTGGTCAATAAACACGCCATTCACCAAAACACAACTTCTTTTCTTTATTTAGCTCAGAAACGTTCTCGTTGCCGAAATGGTACTTTTAATGCACATATACGTAATTATTCAAATTAAAACCAAGTGTGAAGTGCCATGCAGGTAATTAGGGAATGTCAGTTTACAGGTTTTCACTTTAAAGAAATTTGAGATTAGATATAATACAACTTTATATATACATACATATGATATAATACAACGTAACTGTTAACCAATGTTTATGAACATTAAAGTTTTTACTGTTACAATTTTTTAACACTATGTGAATATCAGTTTGTGCTACTACTTTTATTTCTATGTTTTTTAATGGATGAAGTGAATGAATGATTGTACCTGTTAAATACACAATATAAGCATAATTATCTACATTTATAACGCAAATCTTAGATATGTATATAATTAGATATGTAGCAATATATATATATATATATATATACATAAACATCAAATTTATTGGATTATGTTACAAATGCAAAATAAAATGCAACTAACACATGGCATTTTATATTTAATTTCCTATATACCATAGGTTTTATATGGCATATTAATCCTAAATAAATATATAATCTTCTAGAATAATAAATAACATTTTATTACCAGTCGTTATGTCCGTGGTTGTAGTTTCCGTGGTTTGGATTGTGGTCGTCTCTGCTACAGTACTTACAACTGAAAAAAAAAAAGAATAGACTATTACATAAGAAAACAACTCTTACATATACAGAGGGCACATGTAAACATCTGCACAGGTGAGATAAAACATATAAAACAAAGTCACAATCGTGAGATATAAAGATTGTCAGACATTTATGTATTTAATGCATTTGGATGAAAATGACATGAGTGTGATGCGAGGGATTTGTTTCGCTATAATGACTAAAAAAATATATATATACACACTTTGGGTTGAAAGAATGCTGGGTTGCTCCAAACAAAGTTGAAGTTGGGTTAAAATTTGAAATTACATTTTTAACCCAACATTTTGGTTTGTCCATATTTGACCCAAATTTGGGTTGCAGCATTATTTTTAGAGTGTGTGAAAATCAGTGTGTGTAAGAAAGTGCTAAAACATGAGAAGGTTTTAAATCAATAGAAAAACTCTTTTATCATATGAATTATTTCTATTATACACATTAATTTCAACATTTTTATGAAAAACAAAGTATGAATTGAAGATTGGATGAAACGAAAGAATTATTGTACCTGTTGTTTGTCCATTGGTTATTTCACCTGTTAAATACACGATATCATTAATGTGGAAAAAAAAAGCAGTCATTTTATAAAACGGATTATAAAACACTCACCATCAATCAGCAGCAGCGACACACACAGCGAGATCAGAAACCTCATTGTGACAAACAGCACCTGCACACACGCACACACACACGAAATGTGTGTCTTATATTTTGATGTATTTATTCTTTCTTTGTTGTGCACATTTGTAAAACAACCATAACATTCAAAGATAAGCAAATTTGACAAAATATAGAAAACAACCAAACTTCACAAAATCATTTGGATCCATCCAAAGTTGAAGTAACTTTACCTGAGGTCAGATCGGCTGCAGAGCAATCTCAGATTGATGATGGTCTGAACTGCAGATCTCACAATCTCATCAGTGTCTTATATACCTGTAGGTGGACCTTTACTGGAACTAGATGTCATTTCTCAACATTATCTTAAACCAGTTTTTTAATGTGACATTGAGATATTTGTTATTTGAACTGATTGTTTCCTTGTGCACACCTCCATTCAGAAATACATTCTTTCACTCTGTGCTTGAATAGATGTGAATATAGATGGAATGACGACGGGACAGTTTGATTTGTTTTTTTCTAAAAGCAAATGTACAAAAATAGTACCTTAAAACAAACAGTGAGTGACCCAAAGGTCAATGGAAAGATTTGTGTTAATTTAATAATGGTAAACAAGCAAAGAGGCATTGACAGAGAGTCAAGAAATGATGATGAGAAGAATTATTATTAATATTTCAGTAAAGTTCATTATATCTATTCTGTTGTTAGTGTGGTCTTTAAACTTATGAACTGTGTAAGGACTGACCAAGGTGTTTCATGAGGATGCAATTTGACAACAATGCAGTGAATATTTTAGAAAAACTGCAAAAACGTCCACTTTTTTAATCAATAGGCTGGCAGGCTATACGGACTTGCATGTAATTGATTATTAGTTTACATAATGGTCACATTAAAAGCTTTAGAGTTCATCCCTAAGACATCTGGAAGGATGCAGACAGTGGTCGAGTAAGGCAAGGTTTGTAAGAAATCATAACACACTGTTAGACCTTACCAGTTTTTTTACAGTATAATACTGGCAACACTGTTGCCAGTAATTTACTGTAAAAATACACTAAAACTCAAGTTAACTAAAAAATACAACTTATTAGTTTTAGTGCATTTTTACCGTAAATTACTGGCAACAGTGTTGCCAGTATTTTACTGTAAAAAACCTGGTAAGGTCTAACAGTGCAGAAATGCAAAAAATACCAATCAAATGTTTTTTACAACAAACACCTCAAAGCTAAACCCTAAAGTAAACTGTAATGCCTTTTAAAACAGCTGGGAGACGGCAGGCTCGTTTGCAGATCAGCATTAGACAAATGTGTGTCTAATATTTGGGTATCGACAGTGAAGGAAAGAACAATGAGAAACAGCAACAAATCCTAATCATGAAAACTAATTTACAAAGACAGCAGAGAATACATAAAAAAGGTCAAACAGACAAATGTTGGTTCTTTCCTAAAGTGAAAACATTGTCATATGTATATTTTAACAGTAAAATATTGACTGAATTGACAACATCATTCATAAGACGTGCACATCCCATGGGTATTAACTATCATTTAAAGTGAAAAATCAGCTCTAGCCTTGGAAAGTTTAAGGAAGTGAACACTATATTCAGGTTTACCGGAGAACAAACAACTCGATTCTTTAGGAATGTTCCACATTCCTCTCCTGCACATTGCACAGACAGACAGACGGACGGATGGATGGATATAAAGTGAGAATCATCAACACTGTTACAGCATTTATGGCAAATCCAGGTTAGTATTAAATTGTGCATAATTATTAGTTATTAGTATTATAAATGTGCATACTAATATATTTTTTAACATGCTGAATAAATGAACATTGGTTAATGTATTATGAAGCATGAATTAATGAACAGGAGTTAAAATTGTATTAGATAGGCTAAGTTATTTGTATATTGTTAATTTTTGTTTATTGCATTAGGTATAAAGTTAAGAAGTTTTAATCCACACAGTAAATCTGGCAATGATACAGAACATTTTATCCTCTGAACTACAGTAATACATGAGCATCTTATGAAAAGTACTGTGTATTTCCTTGTTCGTGTTGTCAAACCTGATGGTTCACTGCCATTTGTTCACATTTCAGATTTTCACATTTCAAAACCATTCAACATGTTCCAGTTACGGCCGGACTGTTTTAACCCATATAGTGACTTATTGAGTTTATACACACTATGGGCCCTATTTTAACGATCTGAAACGCATCAAGCGCGAAGTGCAAGTAACTTTGTGTGCGGGTCTTGGCACTGTTGCTATTTTACCGGCGGGATAAATGATTCTTGCACCCGACTCAAGTTTAAAAGGGGTTGGTCTGAAATAGCTTCATTATTCATAGGTTGGGCATAACGTGAAAAACAGACACACTGAAGAGGACGAATATTGTTTAATTATTCCCTAAACAAACTCTGATTGATTAACAACTAATTGAAATGGAGACAACTTTGACCCAAATGTTCATCATAAGCTTTTGTGTGTCTAAGGTTTTCAAGTCAAGTCACATTTATTTAGCGCTTATAGCCTACAGAGTGTTTCAAAGCAGTTACAGAGATAACAAAATGCAACAAAGTTTGTTTCCAGAAGAAAGAAGCGTCACAGTCCAGCTTAAGTAAGTTCAGTGATGTTTTATTTAGTTGTAAAATCGTCCAGCTCAGTTCACTTCTCATATCAATGCAGGCAGATCAATAATATTGTTGAATATTAAACTAAATGTTATATTTAAAAGATAAATATTTGAGCAATTAAGTTTGATAAAGTAGAAAGTAATATAGCCTAAAGCATGAACTGTTTATGTGTAATGTGGATGTGAAATGAGAAATAAACTAATGTAAATCTGAGACATTTAAAAACCTGCTAAACTGAATTTACCGGCTAAACTACAACATGACATACCAGGACAAAGAGTGTTTCACGTGTTCAGCATGTTAACCCTTAGAGACCAACTGGAATAATCAGAATAAGCAGTTCATACTTTATATTACTTTCTACTTTATCAAACTTATCTAATAGCTCATGTATTTATCATAACATGTTTTGACAGGAATTTGCAATCTGAATCTCACAATATGGTCGTTGCCTGGCGTACAGTATTGCTGATTGTTTATGATTAAATGTAGATATCTTCAGAGTATTTGATCTGTAATATTATGTCAAATCCAAACATGTTTTGTAATAGAAACACTTCCACACAACATTCAGCAATATGATATAAATAATAATATTATTTACTTTCAAAAAATATAAGAACAGTTTTATGTGAATGTTGCATAAATGCAGCAGTGTGTCTCAGTGGTCAACAGTTATTAATGTTAATATTAATGTTGCTCTCACATGAAAGGATCAATGGAGGACAGTGTCAGAGCAATGCTAAATCTGAACTTGCTCTCTGTCCTACAAGCTCTTTAATTTCACTTTCTCTTCACGTGCTATCACTGAGAACTAGAACAATACAAGAATTTTTAGAAGAATTAAAAACATGTGTAATCTGAACACAGACTGAACTTCACCTCATCTTGCTTTATGAAAAGAACAATTCAACCAATGCTGCAACATTCTTCAAACAACTGAAAGTAAAATAGCAAAACTCTTCTCATGCATAACATCATAGCATCACGATGGAAAATAAGTCAAACAGTTGCAAAGATAACAATACAAAGATAATGTTATGATCATTAATCTTTCTCGTACTTTTACTGAATGAAAATGATTAAAAAAGCAAAAATAGACTTTGCGGCCAACCATAACATGTATTTATTTTTTCCTCATTTAGACAATTCAGAACTTTTTCTCGCCTTAAACAAAAAGACCGAATAAAAAAATTACAACACAATTTTTAGGAAAAGAAAGTCACATTAGTTAGTTGCCTACAATAACAATATCACAAATCTCCAGAGAAAAGGAATGGCCAAATTATTTCTTTGTTCTTTGTTGTAGCAGCACATTCCCCCAAGTAATACAGAATTAATGCACTATATAGAAATAAACGTAAATGATTAAATAATAATTCCCTTATTAGTCCACATGAAGTGCATGGTTTAGAAACCCACAACCAGTGTAGCATCAGTCCCACATTAATTAAAACTACTCATCTAGACAATCTGCATGTAAATTGTTGTGGTACTAAACTAAAAGTGTGTGAGGACACTCATCAGAGGAACAAGTATCAGCATCAGAGAACCACACACACAAGAAGCCTCAGATACCTTCACTTGTTCTGGGACCCACTTATCTGTGGACAGGGGATATAATGAAATGTAGTGAAATATAATGTATTTACATATAAACCTTTATTTACTGAATGACTGAAATAAATGAGATGTTCACCTGTGTTCCCTTCAGACAACACCAGAGGACCCATGGATATGGAAGCACTGTCATGGAAGTCCAGAGACCTGCGCTCTCTCCGCTGGTGTCCAGAGCCACAGTCCTAATAGAGAAAAGAGCAAAATCCAGCTGTGTGAATCTCTGTTAAATATCACTGAACAAACACGATAAAAGAGTGCACAGAGTCTCCAGAAGAGGGCAGAAAAAACAAGCATTTCAGGCTTGAACATTAAACCTCAGCATCATGGACATTTAGAGAGATATTTCTCTGATCGACAGGAATTGATCAATAGCAAATTCCTAAAACTTTCATTACATTAATTATGAGGGACAGATGTAAATTACTCAATACTCACCGTTGAGCAGCGATTGCTTGACAGAAGGCAAAGGTGAACAGCACAGTGCAGATAAAGCCTAGTGGAGTTTGCAGTGAAGATGAACATCCTGAAGGAGAAACGGCTGGATGTCGAGACGCCGTTCTGCAGCAGATCCACTGTGTCGTCATCTGGATTCGGACACCTGAGAATATCAATAATCACAGATTCTTTGAAACAGTCAATACAAAGTGATCTCCTGTAAATCATCACATATTTGCATTCCATGTTCAAAAATGTAATATTATCCTTTAGTCCTGAAGAACTGAACGACATGTAACATGTAAAGTAATCCTAGAGGTGATATGATTATTATTTAAAAAAATAAAAAAGGCTAAGCTTAAAATAATTTTAAAAGAAACCCTGCTTTACTCTGAAAGGATGAGATCCCAGCGGAGGCTGTAATCGGGATCATTCACAGGTGTAGCCCAACACGTGTCCATCACCAGGGCGAACTGGCGGCTGTCGACCCCCTCAACACGAACTTCCACATGCATCTCCTGGTCGAGCTCTGCATCCACTCGACCAGTGAAGGGCCGGGTAAACTCATCATCCTCATATGGGATCATCCAGACCTGATATCTGCCTTCACCAGCGGGAAGAGTCTTGTTCACCATGCTGTCGAAATAATGGATAGATCTGTGTTAAAACTACTTTTTTGTGATGGGTAAAATTCTGCTTTAGGTGTAAACCATATATGTTCTTGGTTTAGAGAATATTAGCATATATTTACTTTATATAATCACACACGCATTTAATATTCAGTACTTTACATATTGCCTCACATTCACCCATTCACACACTCATTCACACACCGACGCCGGTGTGAGCCATACAAGGTGCCATCCAGCTCGACGGGAGCAGCTGGGGTTAGGTGTCTTGCTCATGGACACCTCGACACTTGGTCAGGTGAAACCGAGGATTGAACCACCAACCTTTCGGTTCGTAGACAACCTACATGAACCACTGAGCCACTGCCGCCCAACTACTTGGTTAATAACAGTAGTGTTGCTGAACCAGAATCTGTATTTGACTCTCACCTCCCCAGTGGATTGATTTCCACATTCATGGAAAGTGTTTGTGATTGAGGATAAGCACAGCTGAAATTAAGATGCAGGATTTTCTCTCTGCTGATGATTAGACCTTCTGATCTCGGTGTCCCCACAATAAAGTTGTTATAGATGAAGTGGGTGCCGTTAGCCTGTGGATAACAAATATAACGTTCTCTAATTTAGCCTAAACTGAATTCAAAGTATTTTAAAAAGGCAGCAGTGTTTTGTACAACAGCAGTATTTTCTTTGCACTAACTAAAAAAAAAGAAAAGTAGCTAGATTCTATTTATAAATAGAAACTTTTTTGATAACTCAACATTATGCATATCATTAAAATATACAAAGCCCAAAATGTATTAGTCACATGAGATCAAGCTGGGCTACAAATTAATGGTGGAAAATGTGGGCAGAAGTTTCAATGTGTTTTCTGGCATTATGATGTGAACCCTTCCCCTCTGGATCTCTTTCAGACTTTGAGAAGTCTATAGGGAGGTTTGTTTGGGCCCTTTATTTTGTCGTTACAGATTCAGTGTCCTTACAGACCGCTCTAGACACTTCTCAAAGTCTCAGAGAGATTCCCCAAGGGGTCAGATCAAACTCTGTTGGTCCTATCAGACACTACAAATATTTAGATGGTGTATTGAATAGATTATACACAGTTAAACCCACCACAAGATTTGTTCCACAGATGTGTTCATCATTATCAAAGAGGAATTCCACTCGGCCGTTCCGGACCGTTCCTTTGCAGTCGGGATCATTGAGGTGTAAGACATCAGCTGGAAAACCAGCCTCAAAGAGCTGACAGCGAGACACAGATATGGAGCCAGAGCTGCTTTCACAGGTTTCCGAGAAATCTGAGAGGGGATTAAAGGACAAAACATTGTCAGAATAATTAAAAAAAGATAAAGGCAACTAATGACCGAAAATAAATTGTTAAATGATACCAACCAAAAGAGTCAGGTTGTGGTCTGTGATGGTCTTCGTTACATAAACAGCCATAAACACCATTTTTCTTCCCACACCATTCATCCTCAGAGCAGCTGAGTTCAGAACAGCGATCTCTCACATCTAAGAGGAAAAGATCGATCAAATAATTATAGCATTATAGCAAACAATTAATTATTACCCCTTGAGTTCCACAGATCGTTCACTTTCCATCCACCTGACCATAAGAAATAAATTGCCAGACGGGGGTGGTGATATGTTTCCAAATAAAAGCAAATCCAAATAAAATATTAAAAATCATTATAAAAAATAATGGTCGTGCTGATTTTTTTTTTAATCATAACTATTAAAACCATAGTCTATTAAGAGCTAGCTGATTTGTGAATTAATCATGTTTTTAAATTGTCATTCTTTTCTATTAATTTAGAAAATCAGTTAAACATTAAATCAATATCAGATCATGATTGTGAATCGTTCAGAAAGCTCATTCATCCTCTGAATCATTTCTGAATCAGTTTCTCACTCTAAAAACAGTAACAGTAACATAGAGGACAAAAAACAAAACAAAACTTGAATCCTATGTATGTACCCGACAACCCCACCCTGCTACTTTCTCTAAAGGTCAGCTTTCAGGTTAGTTTAGCTACCTGCATTTTTAGTTACACTGATGACAAAAATCACAAAATAATCTGTGCTGAAATGTGCTTATTTTGAAAAGCGTAGAGGCGAAGCCTTGGCCAGGCCTGTACCATGGCATCCAACCCCAGTGGGGCAATTTAATGACTGATAATATAATTGCCTAAATGGCCTAGTCAATTATTTTAAATTATTTACATGCATCACAAACTTATAACGGATATTATAATGGATCTGATTTGCTCATGTCAAACAATATTCCTCCAGATTGTCACTTAATATATTATATTACCCGTTGTATTGTCCATAGTTGTAGTTTCAGTTGTTGTAGTTTCGGTTGTGGTTGTCTCTGGCATGACAGTGGTAGTAGTGTTTATGGTGCTTGAATCTGAAACGAATTTTAAATATTAGATTCAAATAAACAATTATTATCTCTTTCATAAACGAAGGGCACATGTAAATATATTTACCTGCACAGTATGCCAAACTGCAGGCAGTTGGCCTCACAAACTCATAGACATAATAATCTCCTGGACAGGCTTTGACTTTAATGGGATTGGACTGGAAATAGCAGCAGTTATTGCTCCAGTGACCGCAGACATCTCGAGTGACCACTCCATCCTCAACTGTTGGATGTCCTCCGTTCAGCCACAGAGGAGCATGAGTGCCACAACTATACTCATCAACACATGTGTCCGGCATCTGAACGCTCTGACCCTGAATGAAGAGACGGTACCAGCCGTTCCAGCTGACCCAAGCCTCACACATTATCTGAGAGGAATGTTGATTGTTGGTGGCTCTCCATGAATCATCCAGGATAGTGTAGTTGTAGCAGGGGTCAACAGGGGGAGCTGTTGTCATGGAAATATGAAACATATATATATATTGAGAAATGAATAATTAAATGTTTTTGATGTCAACAGCGAGGAGTTTGACATCGGGGCTGGAGTTATGCAAGGGGATACATTAGCCCCCTTCCTCTTCATCATAGTCCTTGATTATGCACTCAAGAAGGCAATCAGTGGGCGAGAGCAGGAACTTGGCTTCACTTTGACACCAAGGAAATCAAGTCGGCACCCGGCAGTAGTCTTGACAGACCTTGAATATGCGGATGACATCAGTCTGCTCTCCAATAGCATGGAACAAGCTCAAGAACTACTACACAGGGTGGAGCTAGAGTGCACTAAGGTTGGCCTTAGGGTAAATGCGAAGAAAACCGAGGTCATGACCTACAACATACCACCGGAACATCAACCTCTGATAACAGTAGAAGACACTGTGCTGAAGGAAGTTGAGGATTTTAAGTACCTGGGCGCATGGGTTAACTCAACAGAGCGTGATCTAAAAGTGAGGAAGGCACTTGCGTGGAGGGCCCTGAACGGCATGAACAGTGTATGGAACTCCAGCCTCTCCCGCCAAATCAGACTCAGCTTATTCTACGCAACGGTAGAGTCTGTTCTCCTCTATGGCAGTGAATGCTGGACACTGAATCCAACCCTAGAGAAGTCCCTGGACGGGTGCTACACCAGGATGCTCCGTGCAGTGCTTAATATCAGTAAGGGAATGCATGTAACCAACAAAATCCTCTATGAGGGAGTATCAAGAGTGACCGACAAGATTTCTGTGAGGAGAATGAGACTTGCAGGACATTGCCGAAGGCATCGAGAGCTGCCAGCCAGCAAGCTGGTGCTATGGGAACCAACACATGGCCACAGGTCAAGAGGACGCCCCACGCTAACATACGTGGACATACTCAAGAGGGATGCGGGAGCCCAGAGCACCAACGAACTGGCCGGATGCATGGAGGCAACGATGGAAGGCTCGTCTGAGGACGACTTAGAGAGAGAGAGAGAGGGAGGATGTCTATTTCCTGTAGCGGTTATGTCATTAAACAGTTTACACTGTTTACTTAAGCTCACTGTTTCATTTGCATTTTAACTTGAGTCTGAAGACAATTTGTCGTAAGCTTTCAGAACATCTCTCATCTAGCTGACAAAACGAGATAAAAACAGTCCACACACTGTTGATTGAAAATTATAATTTTATTTGTTCTTTCAAAATTAAAACGTCTTAATTTTAGAACTGACCGTGTCCACATTAAAAAAGATTTTTTTTAAGTAAGTGACTGTGACGATCAGCAGCCGTGGTGCCCTCGAGAGCCAATAGAGGGCACTCTCTCCCCATGTTATGTTTCCCCATGGACTCTTTGTTTTATTATGTTCAGCTGTGTTTCATTATTGGTTATTGAGTTCCTTATTTAAGCCTGAGTTTTCCCTGTGTCCCTTGCGAAGTCTTGTTACCCTGTAAGCGTACATCTCTGAGCATTTTCTCCGTTTGTGTATTCCGTGTTTCCCTGGACTCTCGACCTTAGCCTGTTTCCTGGACTGTTTGTGAACCTGTGCTGCCTGCCTCGACCATTGCCTGTTTAGACCACGAGTTTCTGGATTGCCCCTTGCTTTGTTTGTGTGCCTGCTTGATTTCAGTTTATGTTCAAGTATAATAAAGTTCACTTTGTCTAAAAATACCTTCTGTTTACATTCAAATATAGAGAGTTTGAATTGCATAATCATTTGTGAGCTGAATTGCTTTTTACTAATGTGATTTTTGTAAATATTTTCTGCAGAAATTAATTTAGCTATGAATTTACTTAATGTGATTAACAGGAACATTTCAAGAGATCATGTTTAATAAAAATACATGTCCAAAAATATGAGAGTTTATAAAGGAAGTAAGACAATACTTTACCAGTGGTTGTGATTGGTGGAGTAATGGATCCTATGGATGGGATCGTCTCTGTTGTAGATGAGATGGACTGGTTTGAGGCTTCTGGTATTAGGAACATTTTATATTAACAACAATAATTTAATTCTAATTCAAACAAAATCCATGTAAGTAAATGGCTGAAGATCACATGAGTAAGTGCTCACCAACACAGTAAGCTCCACAAAACATTGGCTTGACAAACTCATAAACGTAGTAATTTCCTGGACAGGCTTTGACTCTTATAGGATGGGATTTGTAAGAACAGCAGACACCCCATGAGAAGACACAGACCAGACGGGTGACCACTCCATCCTCCAGCTGTGGGTGAGTACCGTTGAGCACCAGTGGATAATAAGTGCCACACATGCCCTGATTTACACATGATTCTGACATCTGAGCATTTTCACCATTGTTGAACATCCTGTACCAGCCATTCCACTCCACATTATAATCACACATGCCATAGTAGTTGTAATAGTTGTCTGTGGATCTCCAAGGCTCATCCAGACTGGTATAGTTGTAGCAGGGGTCGACACTTGGGGTGGAGAAAGGCACTATTAAGGAACAAACAGAAAGAGAGCATTATATATTGCAGATTAAATATATTCACATTAATAATATGTTGTAGCCACCAAGGTGATGGTTGGAGGCTACAACACCCACTCGCCAGAGAATGGTTGGACTTCCGGTTGAAGGGCACGCTGGCGCGTTTGGCTGCCGCTCCTCTCTCCCATTTTTATTTTTAATTGTTTTTATTTTGGCTATGAGCCAGTGAAGTCTATCTGTGTTTTGTATTTTTTTGTGATGTGGAATTATGCTTCGCACGCTGGACTACTGCTTCTATCTCTGAGTGCTGTTTGCTGGAATTTACTCTTCTGTTGCTTGGCCCAGGACGTACACTGCTTACACCGCTGTGAGGCTGCTGTTGGTGTGGACCTTCCCCAAATGGCTATCAGGTACACTGCTCGGCAGTTGTTGAACCTGAACAGACGTTTTGATACAGCGAATGATATACGAGCTCTCTGCAGTCATGTTGGAATACTGCGACCTAAGCGCTACATACACCGCTCTTCAAGGCGTAGTTTTTTAAGCTCAACATCTAAATCTGTCGCTTATCCGAGATTTCTGCGCGAACCCCATAGACTGCCGTTTAGACCTACAGGGGTTAATTTCAATAACTTATCAGCATTCAGGCGTGATGAGGTTGCATCGGATACATCGGCTCCCCCGCGTCTGCTGAAATCAGCACTGTTTAATGCGCGCTCGGTCAACAACAAAGCTGATCTCCCGCGTTCTTCTGGTAGAGGTGGGGGGGGTATCATCGTGCTGCACAGTTTAAAGTTCAACTTGTGTCCCGTGGCTGCTCCCAAATTTGACTCATTTGAATGTCTTGTTCTGAGTGTCTCTACGCCCCTTCCGACTGCAGTGGCTACAGTCTGCAGGCCTCCTAAGACTAATAAAGACTTTCTATCTGAATTATCAGATATGTTGTCTTTTCTCTTCCTCAGATTTGAAAGAATTCCTTTACTCAACATTCATATGGATATAAAAGACTCCGCAATAACAAAAGACTTTCTGTCCATATTGGAGTGCTTTGAATTAGACCAACTAGTGGACTGTCCTACGCATGACAAAGGCCACACTTTAGACCTTGTGATTTCCAGTGGTTCATTTGTGACTCAGTTATCTACCACTGATTTAGGTCTGTCTGATCACCGGGCTGTCATTTTTAATTTGGAAATACATACAAACACTTCACGCATCATAAATTATAGGAATTGGAGATCTATTGAGCCCTCTGATTTTTCTGATTTTATTGACTCTCTTTTAAACTGTGACTCTCTATCTGATGATCTGGATGACAATGTTTCAATGCTCAATTCTGTACTGTTGTCTGGCCTGGATACGCTGGCTCCCTGGAAATCACGATCTGTTTCTTAGTGCTGTAGTGGCGCGTCGATAACGTCGATGCTTCGACGTCATATTTTTGCGTCGACGCTTCTTTATTTATTTATTTTTTGCATGTTCCCGGCGGTACAGCTTGCCACACACACGTGGGAGACCGAAACATTGCGGAATAGAGGACGAAGACAACTAGAAGTGAATGTGCTATCCATTAAATGAATCACACACAGTAAACAAACCCTTAAAAAAAAAAAACTTTGCAATTTAGACGCGCAAACTGGGTGCCGGTGTGGTGAGACGTACAAGCTCGGGCAGATTCGGCTTGAAGTCGTTCATCCCGGACGCGGCACCGCACGCGCTGTTACAAAAAAGGCGTACACAGCCACATGCTGCGTCCCAATTCGCACACTATCCGTCCTAAATAGTATTCGAAAATAGAATTAGTACGTCCCAAATCGTAGTATGTTGAAATGAGTGTTTCAAAGATACCCGGATGGTCTACTTTTTCCGGCCAGAATCCGAAGTGTAGATCGATGCACACTCTAACGGCTGATATTGCCCACAAACCATTGCGCGTTGGACGAGGTTTCGGTTAGAACTACAAACACGAGTAAAAAGTGTTAAACTACAGACGCGTAGCCGATATGGAGGGCGCGCGAGTCACCGCGGTTGTGTAGAGAGGTTTACATAAAGAGCTTTGACTGATTAATTATCAGTATCTAACCTGACGAAAATGAATTTATTCATGTTGTCCACATTATATTGCATTTGCAGCAACATTGTGAACTTTAGTAAAGACACATTTAGCCATTACGTTTTAAATCCATCATCATATTCAAATGGCAAACACATGAGGAGAGCATGAAAGACCCACAACTGGCAGATGAACGTGCTCTCCGAAACGGTAGGAAATAAAATTAGAATGGAGGATTTTAACTGTGACAAGGTGATTGACAGGGCAGTTTACGGTGACAGGATGCACGCAGCACGCGACAGAGCTGTCCGTTAAAGATGACGTGATAGTATGTCCCAAAGCTTGTCTACTCTTTTGCTACACACTCAGAAGTATGTACTTTTTCCTCACAAAAAGAGTACATACTTTTAGGGCGTAGTATAAGTAAGCGAATTGGGACGCAGCATCAGTCTTCCTGGTCTTGCGCACCCAGCGCGTCATTTTTGCCGCACGCACATTCGCGCTCGTGCGGACGTGTGGAGTAGCCTATAAACAAGGTTTTACTCCGTGTCAGCACGCGCTCTGATCAGTAGGTGCAGAAACCTCTCCCGATTCATCTCCATCAGTAGCAGCCTCGATCGCACCACTAACTCCGCCTCCGTTTCCCTCCTCAGCTAATATTAATATTTAAACATTCCCTATGATAAAAACTGTTTGTAAAAAAAAATATTTTAATAACACGGTTTTGGCGGTTGTAGAGTTATAATGATGGTGTTCAAATACATTAGACTAACGTTAGCCAGCTTATAGTATCTCAATGCTATATTTATTTGAGATACATTGTTTTTTTTTTATTATTAATTGAGCTTTAGAAAAATATTCTTTATTAGTCGTCCAATTAGTCATTAGATTAGTCGACTAATCGATAAAATAATCGCCCAACTAATCGTTTAGTTAATAATCGTTTACCCCAGCCCTCTTTTGCACGCTCCGCTCCTTGGTACAATGATGATCTGAGTGCCATGAAGACAAATGTCGCAAAATGGAGCGTACATGGCGCACATCAGGTTTAGCTGTTCATCACCAGGCCTGGAAAGACAGCTTACTCAAATATAAGGCTGAAATTGTGTCAGCAAGCTCTGTTTATCTTTCTCATATAATTGTCAGCAATCAGAGAAACCCTAAAAAACTGTTTCACTCAATCAACAAGCTGCTTAAAAATCACAGCGTCTCTAATGTTCCTGCTTCAACTCACCTTTGTAATATGTTTTTTTGGGTTTTTTAGCACCAAAATTGACAATATACGAAACCACATTGTTGCACTGTTGCTGCCTCCTCTTCAGATACATTTGCATTTTCTGGTGTCTCGCTCTCTAATTTTGCAATTCATGATTCCCAGTCTCTGTGTAATACGGTTTCAAAACTGAAAGCCTCAACTTCTAGAGTTGATCCTATACCATCTTGCCTTTTTAAATCATGTTTTGATTCCCTCTCTCCCTTTGTTTTGAGAATTATCAATAACTCCCTGTGCACTTAAAACTGCTGCTGTCACCCCTGTACCAAAAACTAACAACATGGACTTTGATAATCTGAATAATTTTCGACCCATCTCTAATCTTCCATTCCTCGCCAAAATTTTAGAACAAACAGTGGCTTCTCAACTACTGTCTCATCTTTCTGCTAATGATCTTTTTGAGCCACTTCAGTCTGGGTTTCGGAAACTGCACAGCACTGAGACAGCACTGGTCAAAGTGACCAATGATTTGTTAATGGCTTCTGATTCTGGCCGTCTATCTATACTGATTCTTCTTGATCTTAGTGCCGCTTTTGACACTATAGATCACTCGATTTTAATCAATCGCTTAGAGACCATCTTTGGAGTTTCTGATTCTGCATTAAATTGGTTTAAGTCCTATCTCTCTGATCGCAAGCAGTTTGTTGTGATGGGTGATTGCAAGTCTGAGGTCGGTGTGGTGCGCTCTGGTGTTCCCCAGGGATCAGTTTTGGGCCCGTTACTTTTTAGTATTTACATTTTTCCATTTGGCCAACTTTTAAGAACACTTGGTCTTAACTTTCACTTTTATGCCGATGACACTCAGATCTATCTACATTCATAACCTGATGTCAATATGCCTGTGTCTTTTATTTCTCAGTGTTTTACTGAGATTGAGAAATGGATGTCTGAAAACTTTCTCTGTCTGAACAGTGATAAGACTGAAGTGATGCTTATTGGTTCACCTCATCAGTTGCCTAAAGCAGAGTCCATAACTTTAAGTGTGGATGGCTCAGCTTTGAAATTGCAAACTAAACTAAAAAATCTGGGGGTGATATTTGACGCCAATTTAACATTTGACCATCATGTTCGTAACACAGTCAAAACATCATTTTTTCATCTCAGAAACATTGCCAAATTACGTTCTTTGTTGACATTCTCTGTGGCTGAAAAGTTAATCAATACTTTTGTTTTTTTCAAGAATTGATTATAGTAACGCTTTGCTGGCTGGGGTTTCTAAAGCTACCCTAAGTAAATTACAGTTGGTTCAAAATTCGGCTGCTAGAATTCTGACTAGGACCAGTGCAAGGGAACACATTACACCAATCCTGGAAAAATTGCACTGGCTTCCAGTCAGTTTTCGTATTGATTTTAAAATTCTCATGCTCACTTATAAGGCCCTGAATAACTTGGCCCCTCAATATTTGCGTGAGCTCTTAACCCCCTACACTCCTACACGTGCTTTGCGATCTTCTGAAGCTGGTCTTTTAACCGTCCAAACAACACGGCTAAAAACTATGGGTGATCGGGCTTTTTCTTCTTTAGCTCCAAAATTGTGGAATTCCCTGCCCTCTGAGATTAGAAATGCAGAATCCCTTAGAGTTTTTAAATCCTCCCTTAAAACGTACTTTTTTAGGGTGGCTTTTATGTGATTGTGTGATCACTGTGATTGTTATTATATTTGCCTTTTATTTTATTGCTTGTTTAGTTTTTATTGCCTAGACTGTTGTGTATCTTTCTAATTCCATTATTTTTTATGTAAAGTGCTTTGAGATACTACTTTTAAAGGCACTATATAAAATAAAGTTTTATTATTATTATTATTATTATTATGAATATAAACCAATACAATTCATGACAAGCATGTCAGATATAAAGAATAATGAATATACCTGCACAATATACAGGAGCTGGGATTGAAAGAGTTGGTCTGGTAAATTTGTAGACATAATAATTTCCAGGACAAGCTTTGACTTGGATTGGGTCGGATCTGTAGCGACTGCACTGATCATTACTGGAGCCGTAAACTTCACGAGTAACAACTCCATCTTCTAGTCGAGGATGAGAGTCACCAAGCCACAGAGAAATATGACCTCCACATGACATATAATTAAAACACCACTCAGGCATCTGAGCACTTGATCCATTAATGAAGAGTCGATACCAGCCGTCCCATTCTACACGAGTGTCATCATGATCAAATATGTATCCATACATAGACCAGTAATTGAGTGTGCTTCTCCAGTAGTTGTCGAGTGTGTTGTAGTTATTACACGGGTCATAATCTGTTAGAGTGAGAGATGATGAGACCAAAACAAACAAGTTATATCTCAATGAGGAACTTCACAAGCGCAAATCTGAACCAGTCAAACACTGTAATAATGAGATTCATAAACCATTCATACACAATGCAACTGTGTAATCGTGAAAGTGTGTATGCACAAAAAAATCAATTTAAACTGTAATGCAAATCTTTAATTGAAAAGAAAAATATGATCTTTAATAACACTCAAATATTAATATTATTTACAACTTACTCAAGTTGATGGTGGATCCAGTGAATATATCTGGACTCACAGTGGAAACCGCCTGTGAAATAGTGCTGACATCTAAAAAGAAGGAAATTCATGAGAGAAATAATTTTAAAAGATTTAAATAAATGAGAAAATCACAGTACCTGTGCAGTATCCTGAACACTCAAATTGTGGATTTACAAGTTCATAGACATAGTAATTGCCTGGACACGCTTTCACTCTGATGGGGTTAAACTTGTTATTACAGCAGCTTCCCCAATAAGTCCCTCCACAGATCTCCCTGATCACCACTCCATCCTCTATCTGAGGGTGAGGATCAATGAGCCACAAATTGAAGTTTGTGTTACAGGTGAATGTACTAATGCAGGTCTCTGACATCCGGATGTCCATTCCATAGTAGAAAAACCGGTACCAGCCATTCCAGGAGAAACTTTCATCACAAATGTAATCTCCTCCACTTTCATTGTTGGCTCTCCAGGGACGATCCAGAGACTCATAGTTGTAGCAGGGATCACTGCTGATGCTTTGGAAAGCAACTGTCATGGAGTTTGCAAAAGTACTGTTAAAATGTTTTACATCCTAAAGAGCATAAGAGTTTTATACAAGACCAGTTATGATGGTTAATTACATAACTTCAAGCAATTATATATTCTAACCAGTGGTGTACTGTCTGTCATGCTAAAGTGGGGCAAGTCTGTCTGACAGAACCCTGTAGAACGGGACAGAGCAACACCTGAGGAGGAGCTACATATGACAAGAGGACTGTGGAGTAATATCACAATGTTATGCTAGGACTAGGTGCTGATCTGTAACATAACCCACTATACAGAATGGATAATGAACTGCACACCACTGATTCTAACTAGTTAAAACGTACTTATTTCAGAAAACAAAAGATGTGTGTTAAATTATCTAAAAGTTAAAGCGTTTACACTTTATCATGACATAAAAAAAATTCAAAAGATAAAATTGAATATTGTACCTGCACAGTACATAGGCTGGGGGGCTGATATGACGGGTTTGACAAACTCATAGACGTAATAATCTCCTGGACAGGCTTTGACTCGGATGGATGAGGAGCTGTAGGCGCCACACTGATTGGAATACCACCAATACCATGAATTAGTCCCCAAGACTCCACGGGTCACCACTCCATCCTCAAGTGTTGGATGAGAACCGTTGAGATGCAGTGCAGTTTGACCTCCACATTTCACATAACTCACACACCACTCAGACATCTGGGCACTTTCTCCATTCAGATACAGCCGATACCAGCCGCTCCATTCAACAAGAGTGTCATCATGTCCAGAGTACTGAAATGGGCTTTGCCGTATGTCTCTCCAATATTCATCAAGAGTGTTATAATCATAGCATGGATCAGTTGTAGATTCTGAGAGAAAAAGAGACTCATTCACTGACGAGACAAACAGATATTGAGATGTTGAAATGAGATTGAATTAAAGGAGTCATTTTATGGTTCTAAAAATAACAGTATTTGTGTATTTGGTTTAATGTAATGTATTTACATAGTTTTAGGTGTAAAAAAAAGTAATTATTTTACACATACTGTATATTATATGCCCCACCGACCTTTCTAAAAAGCATTGATTTTTAAAACGCTCATCGTTCTGAAAAGCGTGGTGTGCTCTGATTGGCCAGCGATCCAGTGCATTGTGATTGGCCCAAAAAACTTAAGCGAGTGACGGAAATGTCACGCCCCTCACCATATCTGGAACATCAGCTCCCACAACAATGATGAAAATGCAGATGACTAAACTGATCGATCAACTACAAGCGACTGGACCAGATCGTCTCAGATTGGCAAATTTTTATTTAATTGGAGACATATTTACTGATTATAATGATGACTAATCTGTCTTTGTATGAGTCACGACAGCTTTAGCCCTTCGGTTGCCCTAGGCGAAATTGAGTTTTGAAAATGAAAATGATTGAGTATTTATTAAACTAAACAAAAATGCTCTTATAGTCACTCCAAAACTTCAACAAACAAAGGATCAACTACAATAAATTGTTCATACAAATGCTACAAAACGTTCAAGGGACCCGAGTGCTCAGCTTGATTTAAAAAACACATTTTAGCGCTAGATCTCTTATTTAATGCAAAAATTGCACACTATGCAAGACTATGTGAGGTTGTGAGTGCAGAAACCAGTCTATGGCAGAGGCGCGCTGTCTGTGTGAGTGGTATTTACAATTACGACAGTGACGTTAAAATACAAGTACTCCAAAGTGACTTTAGGGGTCACTGTTTTTTGAAAAAAAAAAACGGAATTCCTGCATAGTGTGCCTTTAATTCAACATGAATCAATGATAATTAAAAGTCTGAACTAATTATGAACCAATGAAGAGCTATCCTTAAAGGGATACTCCACCGGGTTTTCATATTAAACTATGTTATTCCCTTAATTAAGACGAGCTGATGCATACCTCTCTCGTCTCAGTGCGTGCACTCTATCGCTCTGTATTGCCGCAAAACTATGTTAGCACTTATCTTAGCCCAGTGCATTAAATATAGGCCAGAAAGAGAGGTGACTAAACACTTCCTCGTTTTCCCTATTTAAACACAGTTACTCGATTAGTGTAACTCGACCTAGGCTGGTGACACAAAATAAAACGTTGTGTTTTTCTAAGCGTTTAAAATTGATGACTATATTGTATGGCGGAATACCATAAAAAGTGCTTTAGAGCACTTCAACTTGGCGCAATAATACCTTCACTCGTGAAAAGTCCTCTTACCGGCTCCCGCTTTGGCGCATGTCACGTTGGCTGCATTGACGGAAACAAGAGGGAGGGGGAGAGCGAGGAAGCGGGAGCCGGTAAGAGGACTTTTCACGAGTGAAGGTATTATTGCGCCAAGTTGAAGTGCTCTAAAGCACTTTTTCATGGTATTCCGCCATACAATATATATATATATATATATAAGAATGGCCAGTGAACAGTTCAAGAGGTGTGTGCATCCCTGCCCTCGTTTTCTCACGGGTGGGGACACACACTTTAAGTGTGAATTGTTTGGGAGTGCAGCATGCACGGGCAGCTCTCAAGGGGGTTGCCTGTGCAGATTGTGATTCTATGCCCATTAGGGTGCTGCGCTCCCGGCTGGCATGCTTTGATGAGCACGGTCAGGCTCGCGTTCCCCAGGGTTCCGGTCCCGCATTCGCCGAGGCGATGCGGCGACTGAGATCCTGGGGTTCGCAGCGGGATCTCGCAGAGGAGAATGAGAATGCTGAGGCATTTTCTCGTTCTCCATCTGTGGATCCTGCAGCCTCTGAGAGTTGCGGTTGCGGTTTCTCCTGCCCACGATCAGGTTCCAATGCTTGAATTGTCTGCTTCTGAGGAAGTGGACGTGGTCGGCATTGATATGGACGACCGTGAGTTCGGCACGCCAGCACAAGGCCAGAGTTATGAGGAGCTGGTGGAGGTTGTAACTCGCGCTGTGGCCAGACTTAACATCAGCTGGCCACAGAATGAGCAGGAAACGCAAGTTAGAAGCAAACTTGATGAGCGTTTCCTGCAGCGCAGGTCACAGCCTCAACGCCGGGGTTTGCCGTTTTTCCCAGATCTCCACAAAGAGATTGCGAGATCGTGGGAAAAGCCTGTTATGTGTGAGTGTTATAATCTGGATGTCACTGCATTATCCCTAGTAGATCACCTGCAATCAACTGGCTAATTGGTGTCACCTGACGGGAGCTACTTAAATCTAGGACGCATGCTCTTGCTTGGAGATCCTCTTGCTGCAGCAGTGTTTTGTTTCTACAGTCCCTTTTTCTTTCTTTTTATATTAAAATAAACTTTATTTTTGATTGGCAGATTTCTGTCTTTGTGTCCTTTATGTTGCATCCCTAGAGCCAGGGTTGTAACAAGCCGCACTCGTCCCGTGTTTCGAGTCCCAGTGTCATCGATTACAGCAATGTTCTAGGGGCTCGAGACATGGGATATGGGAGGATGCCTAGGGCGGAAGAGGCTTTAGCGAGTTATTTCACCTGATTCGCCGTCTTCCCTAAAAAACCCGGTGTTGCCCAGTAAGCCCTGCAGGGAAACATCTGCATTAGTTGGCAGGGCTTACATGGCGGCAGGTCGGGCTGGTTCATGTCTGTACTCTATGGCGATTTTGCAGGCATACCAGGCCGACCTCCTAAAGGATTTAGATGAGGGGGAGGGGCCGACTCCTGAGGATGTGGCGGAATTGAGGAAAGCCACAGACCAGTCTCTCCGGGCCACGAGAGCAATGGCCCGCGCCATTGGCCGCTCTATGGCAACGGAGATGCATCTGTGGCTGAATCTTTCCGGCATAAAAGATAAGGATAGGTCTTTTCTGCTGGATGCGCCGCTTTCGCCTTCTGGCCTGTTTGGCGACGCCGTTACATCGGTCGTCGACAGGTTTCAGGAGGCGAAGAAACAATCTGCGGCCTTCCAGCAGTACCTCCCCCAAAAAGCAAAGGCTAAATCCAATAGGATGGGGCAAAGCGATCATCCCCAGCCGTCATCCAGCTCCTCGCACCGGGCAGAACAAAAAGAGAGCGTTTCCTCCAGAGCCCCTCCTCCGGGAACTTGGCAACAGAGGAAACGCTCTCAAAAAGCGAAGTCCTCCAGCCAGAAGGGCGACCTGAGGGACGTCATTCAGGCTAGGAGGGCTTCAGGAAAGAGGTCCTAGCTGGAGTAGGACCTCGGAGGGCTGTCCCCTCCGCTGTGGGGCAACCGAGGTTGTTCTCGCAGCGGAGCCTTCTAGGAAAGGATGTATGATCCCCCCCCCCTCCCTGTTGTTGAAGGGAGCCATAGAACGTGTTCTTCCGTTAGACAGGGAGTCCGGGTTTTACAGCTCCAAAGAAGGATGGGGGGGTTAAATGGTTAGTTCACCCAAAAATGGAAATTAAGTCATTAATTACTCACCCCCATGCTGTACCAACCCCGTAAGACCTTCGTTCATCTTCGGAACACAAATGAAGATATTTTTGATTAAATTTGAGAGCTGTATAACTACCACATAGACTTCCGGGACTGGCTCTTGACTGCCCAGAAAGTCAATGAAGAAAATGTTTAAATATTCCATGTGACTACCGTGGCTCAACTATAAGTTTATCAAGCGACGAGAATACTTTTTGTGCGAAAAAACAAACAAAAATAACGACTTTATTAGACTTTTCCTTTTCTTCCTTGTTGGCCTGAAACGAGACTTCCATACTATTTCCACGACGCATGCGCGAGAACTGAACTGAAGTAGTGTAAGGAGATCGCAATTCTCGCGCATGCGTCGTGAAAATCTAAGGAATCAAAGCTCATACGTTGACACGAGAGGGAGTCGGGGCCAGGGACGTGCACAGGAATTTTGAGGGGCAGTTGCTCTGACCTGAAAAAAGGGCACCCCCCCCCCCTTCCCCTCCTCCCCCCTCACGGGCTATATGAAGGAATATATTCCGTTGAATTTGTCCCCTTCCAAATTCCAAACGCAATGCCTCATCTTATGGTCTTATTATTATTTATAAAGATTGCAAAATGTCAGAGATGAGACAAATGAGCAAAAGACTAAGAGTTCCTCATATTGTTGTTTATTGTTTTTTAAATTATTATTATTTATTTATTTGAAAAGAAATAATCTGGATTGAAAGGAAAAACTCGAAAAAATTTAAAAAACGCTTAGATTTCGGGAAAAAATACAATCCTTTTTTGCCAATCCTGACCTCCCCCTGGGGCCCTAAGCAAAATTCTGCTAAGGGGCCCTCTACCTGATCTGTGATGCCGTGAGCCATGTAAACCATTTGCCATTGCCACTCAATACCGCCCAATACAATCCTCCCTCCTTAAAACAAAATAGTCAAAGAATAAGTACAACAATATAGACCATTTTGCAAGATGTAAACAACACTGGTCCAGAAACACTTCCTGTTTCAGTTTGTAAATGTTTTCTTTATTTCACATGTAAAGAAAACATCTTGAAGATGTTGTTTAACTTTTTGATTCAGTTTTACATGTTCTGTTGGTTGTATTTTATCCCAGCTTTTATGTAGTTTTAAAAAACTGAAACAGGACGTGCTTCTGGACCAGTGTTGTTTACATCTTGCAAAATGGTCTATAGAACAGAATGAGGTTCAAACAAAAAATATTTACTGAATAAAGCATTTTTATAGAATGTTAAGATAACAAGTGAATATTAACGTAAACATAAATAAGAAAAAATAATAAAGTACAACCCTGAAATTTGGCTTTTGGGATTAACTTTGGTTCACTCTACAGCCTGGGTATTTTCGGAATCAGTAGCCTATGATTTTTTTTATATTTAAAAAAAAATTATGCATGTTAAAGCAAATCTTGATTTATGGTTATTTACTGAGGAATTTGCATTCATATTGACCGAATGGCCAGCTAATCATCATTTTAAATTCAATATAGCCAATAAATCAATAGTCAATCAATGTCAAATTGCCAATACATTGGTTTCTATCTTGCATAATTAGTGCAATTGTTTAGAGTTTTTACTGAGACTAGATAATCAGTGTCTTTAAAATGTGTACTTTGATTGGGAGTGCCATCATTCACGTATTGTACAGTATTTCTGGTCTCCACATTTCTGCTTGAAAAATACGAGTTTCATTTCGTGCACGCGCATATGAACGCAACACACGCGACGCGGTTATGTTTTCCGAGCTGCAGTAAACAAACACTGTTGTTGCACTTTGTCGTTTATCAAAAACAAAACGTAATAAATAATGGTATTTTACTCTCACATTTGTCAGGCAAAAAGTGATGCAAGAGATGCACTGTCTGCCCAGATAGGTTAGCAAGACCAAAAACCATCAAACTTTGCTGACATCAAACCTAGAGAGGAGAGAACACAAGTTTACCTGACTGCTGTTTCCGCAATTCACTTTCATGTTTTTCTTCTTCCTCTTTTCGTGACGAGAAGGATAGTTTCGCTTCATTTTGTCATGGACTTCGTACACATTAATTAGCGCGCGACAAGAGATGGAGGCGCGGCCTGAGTAATTTGCGGTGCCTTACCACGCGTGCGGCACTGCAGCCACGTAAACAGTTTGACTTTCACTTTCAGTGCCCGAATGGAAGTGAATGAGGCTTTGCGATTTTTATATTATTATTTTTTTTTTTTTTTGTCTAGGCCTACGTGAAATTGTACATCCATTGTACGATTTTTTTTTTCCTCGGAAGGGCAACCTGGGTCGAGAAGGGCAAATGGGCAGTTGCCCGGGCAACCTGAGCAACCCCCCTGTGCACGTCCCTGGTCGGGGCCATGAGTAATTTGCGGGGCCCTACGCAACTTGCGTAGTGTGCGTATAGGGCTGATCGGCCCTGAACACAACACGGTATATTACCAGTCGTAGTTTTAGTTGTTGTAGTTTCGGTTGTTGTAGTTTCATCTGTCGTTGTCACGGGCATGACAGTAGTAGTGGTAGTGTTTATGTTGCTTGAATCTGAAATAAATTATAAATATTAGATTAAAAAAAAATTATCTCTTACATGCACAAAGGGCACATGTAAATATATTTACCTGCACAGTATGCCAAATGGCAGGTAGTTGGGCTCACAAACTCATAGACATAAAAATCTCCTGGACAGGCTTTGACTTTAATGGGATTGGACTGGAAATAGCAGCAGTTATTGCTCCAGTGACCGCAGACATCTCGAGTGACCACTCCATCCTCAACTGTTGGATGTCCTCCGTTCAGCCACAGAGGAGCATTAGTACCACAACTATACTCATCAACACATGTGTCCGGCATCTGAACGCTCTGACCCTGAATGAAGAGACGGTACCAGCCGTTCCAGCTGACCGCAGTGTCACACATTATCTGAGAGGAATGTTGATTGTTGGTGGCTCTCCATGAATCATCCAGGATATTGTAGTAGTAGCAGGGGTCAACAGGGAAAGCTGTTGAGTGAAAAAATAGATTTATATTTTGAGGAATGAATAAATAAATGTTTTTGTAGTTATGTTATGAAACAGTTTACACTGTTTACTTAAGCTCACTGTTTCAGCATAGCTGTCAACCCAATCCCATTTTTTTCTGGGTTTCTCACGTATTTTAGCTCTTTTCCCGCTGTCTTCCCGTTTTAGTACTTTTCCCGTAAAATATCCCGTATTTTTACGCTCTGATTGTGTGAGACGTACAAGCTCGGACAGATTCGGCTTGAAGTCGTTCATCCTCGGATGTTAGGCCGGAGACACACTGGCTGCGTGCGTGCGTGCGTCTCAGGCCCCGTCCACACTACTGTGTTTTCGTTTAAAAACGGAGACCTTTTGCTACGTTTGCACCTCCCGTCCACACTAAAACGGGAAAAACGAAGACCTAAAGCGGAGAAGTTTAGAAACGCTGCAGCTGCGTTTTGCGTTTTGAATATCCGGAGGGCGTTTTAGTGTGGACGAGACAAAACGGAGAACTTCAGAAACGCTGATGCAGAGGCTGACGCTTGGTCTCCTTCCCTGATTCGTCATTCCCTGTTTACACCGGCACGCGCATGCCCAGTGTTGGTGAATGGTCACGAGATCCGCGTTTTCAGTTTTTTTAATGTGGACGAAACACAGTAGTGTGGACGGGGCCTCAGCTGCTAGCGTGTCTGTTTATATTTTGGCTCCCATGTTAACAGATTAGAGCTTGCACACTGCCTGCGTGACTGCCTGCACCACGCCGAAAACACTAGAAGCATGCAGCCAAATTTGAATGATAAAAAAAGCCGGCAAGTACATAAAATAAGCTTTCAAAATCTTAAAAAAATGAGCAGTTATCTCTCTTCTCAAACGCTGGGGGCGTGTCCGCTGGCTGTGCTGAAACCACGCCCACTAGCGGGAAAGCTGTCGACGGTGATAGTAACAGCGGATTATCGGTGAATAATCAGTGAATCCCAGTTGTCTCTGAGGAAAGTTTATAAAACGATCCAGTGTAAAATGATCACTACAGAGGCGGGTGTTGGCGGTGATCCTCAGCTCTTCATCAAGGTTGGCTCTCTAAAAACCTCTTCTTGATGTGATCGTTTTTAGGGAATTTAAATGAAGATACCGATCTGTTTTGTACATGATCGCATCCAGGTAGTAGCCTATGCATTTCTGTGTCGAAGGCATCGCTAGCTAGAAAACTGTAGGCTCAGCTGTAGTAACTAATAGTACTGACAGTCACTCGCAATTGAGCGGTGAATGCGAATGTGCTCGGGGAGTGTTATTGTGTGTTAAGGGAGAGATCAGACTCTGTACGTCATCAAATAGGGGCGTGTCCAGGAGCTCATGGGCTCATGGGTTTTAGCCCCGCCCAAACAATCCGTAAAATTGCAATGGTGAAAAACTGTTTAACGGTCTAACTCCACATTTCAGTACTTCACAGTTCACAGTCTTTGTAAAATGTTTTAGCAATACATTTATAATGCGTTTAGAACTTTTTTGAAGAATTGCCTTTACAGGGACTTTAAAACGGAAATGACCCTTTAATGTTAAAACGGAGTCAGTCAAAGATGGAGAGACTCAAGAAGTGACAACATTTAGAATGCAACAGGATGACTCTGAATGGTTAGTTGATGCATTCATGTTGCTGATGTCTGAGTATCTTCAATTAGGATATTCTGTCTCAGTAATCTATAAATCACTAGTATGCTGTTGTGAGATGCACACAGAGTGACTTTCTATTGCATGTGAAAAAATGGATGCTAAAGTTTGAGCTGACTCACAATTGTACTCTTATACAACAACCTTTCCTCTTCATTTGAAGAGGAAGAATTTTGGGGTTGCCGATGTCACTAACCCTGAATGTCGTGTAGTCCCGACCAGCCGTTTGTTAGTCCTTTTCTTTAAAAGCAACTATCTTCCTTTGCTTTGAACTTTGAACGTTGTAACTTTGATAATATTGTTTATGCTCAAACAGCAACATCAAGTCAAGTTCATTTATTTTTTCAACATTACACACTAACTAAAGTTATAAAAGTTAAATCATACTTTACCACCCCTTTAAGATTTCACTGTTTACAAAGTTTTAGTACTTCACTTTGTCTAAAAATGCATTCTGTTTACATTGAAATATAGAGAGTTTGTGAGCTGTATTTCTTACTAATGTGATTTTTGTAAATATTTTCTGCAGAAATTAATTTAGCTATGAATTTACTTAATATGATTAACAGCAGTGTTGGGAAAGTTCACTTTCTACATGAAGTAGTTCAAAGTTCAGTTCACACATTTGAAAACTAACTAGTTCAATTCATAGTTCAAACTTCAAAAAATTAACTAGTTCATTTGTTCTTTTTTTCCATATGTTGCGAGCTGTTTTTTATTATTATTGCCACAGCCCATATATACAACCACAGACAACAATTATTTTATCGACGGGCAGTTTGCACAGAAATGTAAGATTTTTCCCATCCTCACCGACCTCGTCATAAAATCCGTTTAAATGATCATACGACGCCTCCTCGCGCGCTGCTGTGTCGACGGTGGCCGCGGCGCGACACTGGTGTCTTGTGTTGCCAGATTGGCTGTTTCTTCGCCACATATTAAGGCCTGTTTACGTGTGTTTAAGCCGGGTTTTTGACTGGAAGGCTCTATAGAAATCTGGCACCCTATTGCACGAAGTTAAACTGAAAGAGCGTGCATTTATAGACACCAGAATGAACGCGTTCACAGTAACATTCATCAGGCAGTAATACAGTACGTTCAGCTCACGTTCGCCCAAAATATGAACGCGTTCAATGAACGTTTAGGCACCACACTAACAGGAACATTTCAAGATATCATGTTTAATAAAGATACATGTCCAAAAATATCCTCAAGAGAGTTTATGAAGGAAGCAAGCCAATACTTTACCAGTGGTTGTGATTGGTGGAGTAATGGATCCTATGGATGGGATCGTCTCTGTTGTAGATGAGATGGACTGGTTTGAGGCATCTGGTATTAGGAACATTTTATATTAACAACAATCATTTAATTTTAATTCAAACTAAATCCAGAAAAGTAAATGGCTGAAGATCACATGAGTAAGTGCTCACCAACACAGTAAGCTCCACAAAATATTGGCTTGACAAACTCATAAACGTAGTAATTTCCTGGACAGGCTTTGACTCTTATAGGGTGGGATGTGTAAGAACAGCAGTCACCCCATAAGGAGACACAGACCTGACGGGTGACCACTCCATCCTCCAGCTGTGGGTGCGAGCCGTTGAGCGTCAGTGGTTCATAAGTGCCACACGTGTACCGATTTACACATGATTCTGGCATCTGAGTATTTTCACCATTGTAGAACATCCTGTACCAGCCATTCCACTCCACATTATAATCACACATGCCATCGTAGGTATGGCCATTATAATAGTTGCCAATGGATCTCCAAGGCTCATCCAGACTGGTATAGTTGTAGCAGGGGTCGACACTTGGGGTGGAGAAAGACACTATTGAAGAAAAAATAGAAAGAAAGTATTATGTATTGCCAATTAAATATATTAATAATATGAATATAATTCAATACAATTCATGACAAGCATGTCAGATATAAAGAATAATGAATATACCTGCACAATATACAGGAGCTGGGATTGAAAGAGTTGGTCTGGTAAATTTGTAGACATAATAATTTCCAGGACAAGCTTTGACTTGGATTGGGTCGGATCTGTAGCGACTGCACTGATAATCACGGGAGCCGTAAACTTCACGAGTAACAACTCCATCTTCTAGCCGAGGATGAGAGTCACCAAGATACAGAGAACTAAAACCTCCACATGCCATAGAATTAAAACACCACTCAGGCATCTGAGCACTTGATCCATCAATGAAGAGTCGATACCAGCCGTCCCATTCTACACGAGTGTCATCATGATCAATTATGTATCCATATATATACCAGTAATTGAATGTGCTTCTCCAGTAGTTGTCGAGTGTGTTGTAGTTATTACACGGGTCATAATCTGTTAGAGTGAGAGATGATGAGACGAAAACAAGTTATATCTCAATGAGGAACTTCACGAGCGCAAATCTGAACCAGTCAAACACTGTAATAATGTGATTCATAAACCATTCATACACAATGTGACAGTATAATTGTGACGATCTGCAGCTGGAGTGCCCTCTTGAGCCTCTGGGGGGCACTCCTTCCTAGTTTATTGTTTTATTCATGTTTTACCCTGGACTGATTATGGTTAATTTGTTGCACCTGTTGTAGATTGAGGTCCCTGATTAGGGCCCAAGCCCTGAAAGGGCGCAGAGCCCTATTGTTTTCCTTTGGATTATTTTTTTTTTTCTCTCTTTTACTTTTCTTATGACTATTCGGGCACTTTTGGGGCTCTTAACATGCTCGAAAACTCTTGAAACTTTGCACACGGGTCAGAACCCGCGGCCATCAGAGCCGGGCTGAAGATGGTACCCGAGCGTGGCAAGGCGGCTCGTCAGCGCCCCCTGGAACGGTGTCCGAACTCTTGGTCCATAAATCAGCGTGTCAGCGTGAAGTCAAGACATTGAGGATGAAAGCTTGGGTGGGGATTTTTGATATCTCGAACGGTTTGGCCGTGGCGAGGAAACAAATTTATGGCGAGAAACGTGAAACAGGAAGTGTGTTATAACTTCTGCATACATTAACTGATCTTGATGAAACTTGAGCAGTGTGTTCGCTGTAAGAGGGCGATCACCTGGATTTGGACACATGGACAAGTTATAGCGCCACCAACTGGCAGCAGGAAGTGTGTCACTTTCAAAATGCTTTGAAATAGGATGCTTTTGAGACCCTTAGCATGCTTGAAATTGCATGAAACTTGACAGACACATCACATTTATTAGCCAGTAGACTGGTGTCTCTGTTTATGTGTGTTTGTGGTTATATAATAAGGTAGTGGTGCCACCGGCTTTATTTATATATATATATATATATATGCGATGAAGGGCCAAAGCCGGCGGTACTGCCACCTAAAGGCACCGGGGTTACGGTGCCACCGGCTTGGGCCCGCAATCGCTGCTCACAGCTATATTTTAAGTTTGAGTTTTCCCTTTGTTCGGGGCTCAGTATTGTAAGTGTCTTTCTGCTTCGAGCGTCTTCCTGGTTTCTTAGTGTTTCCGAGTGTTTTTTAGTTTCATGGTTCCTGGACTCCCTGCCTGTATCTGGTCTTCCTGTTTGCCTTATCCCTGCATTATATTATTGCTGATCTGGACTGCTTACCTGGTTTTGACCCCTACATGTTTCCCTGTACCTGTCTCTGGATTCTCCTCTTAATAAAGCCTGCGTTTGGATCACCTCTGTCCATGTTCCATGTGCAATTTCATCACAGTAAGTGTGACATTTTTTTATGCACATAAAAATCAATTTAAACTGTAATGCAAATCTTCAATTGAAAAGAAAAATATATTTTTTAATAACACTCAACTATTTATATTATTTACAACTTACTCAAGTTGATGGTGGATCCAGTGAATATATCTGGACTCACAGTGGAAACCGCCTGTGAAATAGTGCTGACATCTAAAAAGAAGGAAATTCATGTCATGACAGAAATATTTTAAAAGATTTAAAATACTTAAATAAATGAGAAAATCACAGTACCTGTGCAGTATCCTGAACACCACCATGCTTGATTCACAAGTTCATAGACATAGTAATTGCCTGGACACGCTTTCACTCTGATGGGTTTAAACTTGTTATTACAGCAGCTTCCCCAATGATAACTACCACAGATCTCCCTGATCACCACTCCATCCTCTATCTGAGGGTGAGGATCATTGAGCCACAGATTGATGTATGTGTTACAGGTGAATGTACTAATACAGGTCTCTGACATCCGGATGTCCATTCCATAGTAGAAAAGCCGGTACCAGCCATTCCAGGAGAACTTGTAATCACAAATGTCACCTCCACTTTCATTGTTGGCTCTCCAGGGACGATCCAGAGACTCATAGTTGTAGCAGGGATCACTGCTGATGTTTTGGAAAGCAACTGTTATGGAGTTTGCAAAAATACTGTTAAAATGTATTACATCCTAAAGAGCATAAGAGTTTTATACCATAAGACCAGTTATGATGGTTAATTACATTTTGAGCAATTATATTGTAACCAGTGGTGTACTGTCTGTCAGGCTAAAGTGAGGCAAGTCTGTCTGACAGAACCCTGTAGAACGGGACAGAGCAACACCTGAGGAGGAGCTACATATGACAAGAGGACTGTGGAGTAATATCACAATGTTTTCATATACATTTTTAGTTTACATATTAACTATTGAACAACTCGCCTAAAGTGTGATTTGAGGAATTGTGTAACAAAGATATCTAGATGCTATTGATTAGTAACATAACCTACTAGCCTATATAGAATAGATAATGAACAGCACACCACTGATTCTAACTAGTTAAAATATACTTAGTTCATAAATAAACTAAAGATGCATGTTAAATTATCTAATAGTTCGAGCACACTTTATATGACATAAAACATCCTAAAGATAAGACTGAATATTGTACCTGCACAGTACATAGGCTGGGGGGCTGATGTGACGGGTTTGACAAATTCATAGACGTAATAATCTCCTGGACAGGCTTTGACTCGGATGGATGAGGAACTGTAGGCGCCACACTCACGGGAATACCAATACCACCAATACCATGAATAAGTCCCCACGACTCCACGGGTCACCACTCCATCCTCAAGTGTTGGATGAGAACCGTTGAGAGACAGTCCAGTTTGACCTCCACATCCCACATAACTCACACACCACTCAGACATCTGGGCACTTTCTCCATTCAGATACAGCCGATACCAGCCGCTCCATTCAACAAGAGTGTCATCATGTCCAGAGTACTGATGTGGGCTTTGCCGTATGTCTCTCCAATATTCATCAAGAGTGTTATAATCATAGCATGGATCAGTTGTAGCTTCTAAGAGAAAAAGAGACTCATTCACTGAGGTGACAAACACAAGAGTTCAGGTAAACATCTAACATCTGTGTCTGTATGAAAGAGGAGATATTGGGATGGTGAAATAAGGATGAATTTAAGGGGTCATATGGCTCTAAAAATGTTTGTGGTTTAATGCAATGTATTCACATAGTTTTAGGTTTTAAAAAACATACTGTACATCATGTACATTATTATGCCCCGCCTTTCTAAAAAGCATTGATTTTTACAAAGCTCATCATTCTGAAAAGCGCGGTGTGCTCTGATTGGCCAGAGATCCAGTGTATTGTGATTGACGGAAATGTCGCGAAAACACATGAACGAGTTGTTTTCAACCAGATCTCCTCCTTTCATACACAGAACAACCTCGGACAAAAATCAGTCTGGTTTCAAAAGCGGACACTCAACTGAGAACCCGTCCACACTACTGCGTTTTCGTTTAAAAACGGAGAATTAAAACGAATACGATCTCCGTCCACACCAGCGTTTTGTCTGCGTATTAGAAACGATCTCCGTCCACATTAAAACGACTGAAAACGCGGATCACGTGACCATTCATCAACACTGGGCATGTGCGCGCCGGTGTAAACAGGGAATGACGAATCAGGGAAGGATACGTCATGACTGATAACACCCAATCATAGAGCCAAGCGTCAGCCACTGCGTCAGCGTTTCTGAAGTTATGCGTTTTGTCTCGTCCACACTAAAACGCCCACCGGAGATTCAAAACGCAAAACGCAGCTGCAGCGTTTCTAAATTTCTCCGTTTTAGGTCTTCGTTTTTCCCGTTTTAATGTGGACGGGAGGTGCAAACGTAGCAATTGGTCTCAGTTTTTAAACGAAAACGCAGTAGTGTGGACGGGGCCTGAGACTGCCCTGCTCTTACGCCGCCTTCACACTGGCAGTTGAAATCAGCTCCGTAATACGCAATACGTTCCCAACGGACGTCGTACTACACAGTGAAAAGCGTCGGACGCGGGTAGAATAAAAATGCGGAGAGATTAAAGTTTGATTCTGTCAGCTCTGTATGATCTCTCTGATGAGCTTATGTTGCTTGAGGAAAGTTGCTCAGGACGTTGACATGTCAGGTCGGCTAAAAAAAATGTGATATAGTGGTATCTTCCTTCAATTTAATTGTATTAACTGCCCTTATAAACGCTAGAAAGTTATGAAAATAAAAAATAACATGACAACTTATCGTTATAAAGTCATTATTTATTTTATTAAAAGTTAATAATTCAGGTTTGTATACCAGTACCATAGCAACGCTCAACTTCCGCTGGAATTGTCGGATAGAAACCGTCCGTACCTTTTCGCACAAGTTGAAATTTTTGAACGCATCCGGATGACCAACGGACACGGTTTTCTTCGCACCGCACTCGGTCGGACCCGTTTCGGACCCATTCGCATGCGGTCTGCGAATCTCCATAGGAAATGAATGACTTCCGGTCGCTTTGCAGCCGCATCGGAGCTGAATAACTACATTAGAGAGATCATACAGAACTGACAGAATCAAAAATCCGCCATTTTTGTTCTACCCGCGTCCGACGCCCAACGTATTGCGTAGTCAGCACTTCAATTACTGACGCCGCCTTCACAGGCAGTTTAACTGGCAAGCGCAGTTTCAGTCCTCAACCTGATGGATCTGTCTGCTGCTTTTGACACGGTTAACCACCAGATCCTTTGAGTCCTGTCGATCCTAAAGATGAAGGGCATGTCTGGAACTGCACTCCAATGGTTCGACCTCTGTCCTTTACACCGTGTCCTAAATACACGCGACGCGACACGCGATAAAAGGTATCTTTTCCATGTTAATCAGAGTTTTTGTCCTAACCAGACGCGACGGCAACACGCGAGTTTCTAATTTAGAAACGGCTCCTATTTCTGCGACGTCGCGGCTGACAGAATGAAGAAATTACACTGGTTATGAGTATACATTATTTATTTGTAGTTAAAAATAAGTCACTGTGCCACAAGCGATAACGGATAATTTACCTCAGATTTTCAAAGCATATAATATAGCGTTCAAAATGAATTCTATGCAAACATACGACTTCATAACAAAATTAGTCAATGGGTATATTTCATTAATGTTTTGATTTTTAATAATGTTATTTCTTGATTTGATTATGTCCTTACCCATTTCCAATGTGAGTGCGGGTCAGCAGTGCGCTTTCACAGAGAGACTCCGCTCACACCATATAGACCATTTCACAAGATGTAAACAACACTGGTCCAGAAGCACTTCCTGTTTCAGTTTTTTAACACTACATAAAAGTTGGGATGAAATACAACCAACAGAACACTTAAAACTGAATCAAAAAGTTAAACAAACATCTTTAAGATGTTTTCTTTACATGTGAAATAAAGAAAACAGTTACAAACTGAAACAGGAAGTGCTTCTGGACCAGTGTTGTTTACATCTTGTGAAATGGTCTATAGGCTCACACGCTGTTCTGAATGTGTGGCTTCTCACAGTCGCGTCGCGTCTAGTGTGGACAGACACACTTGCTTTCGCTGGAATTTTATCGCGTCGCGTGTAGTACACGGTGTTAGGGTGTCGTGGAGAGGTGTGGCATCTAAGACCCAACATCTAGCTACTGGGGTGCCTCAGGGCTCAGTGCTTGGACCATTCCTCTTCTCCATCTACATGACATCACTACCCAGATAGCAAACTGACATTGAGTCAACGTGGAAACATGACATCGAAACAACGTTGATCTGACATTGCTCATCGAATTAACGTTGAACCAACGTCAGACGCGTCATTCTTTCAAAACTAATGGAAAATCAACTTGAAATCAACGTTGTTTCAACGTTATGAAAGCAAATCAATTTTCGATTTTCATTTAGCTTTGAAGAATGCAGCGTCTGACGTTGGTTCAACGTTAATTCGATGAGCAAAATCAACGTTGTTTCGATGTCATGAGAGACGTCGTTTTCACGTTGATTCAATATCAGTTTGCTGTCTGGGTAGGATCTGTGATTCAGAAACATGGCTTATCCTATCATTGCTACGCTGATGACACGCAACTCTACCTCTCATTGCAGCCTGGCGATCCTGCTCGTATCTCAGCCTGCCTGACAGACATGTCTGGCTGGATGAAGGACCACCACCTTCAACTAAACCTTGCAAAGACAGAGCTACTTTGGATCCCGGCCAACCCAACACTTCATCACATCTTCTCCATTCAGCTTGGCTCATCATCCATAAGTCCATCACGGTCAGCTAGGAACCTTGGGGTTGTAATTGATGATCAGTTGAACTTCACAGACCACATTGCTAGAACTACCCGGTCCTGCAGATTTGCCTTGCACAACATTAGGAGGATCAGGCCCTTCCATACAGAGCATGCTACACAACTCCTTGTCCAAGCACTTGTTCTATCCAGACGGGACAATTGTAATGCTCTCCTGGCTGGTCTTCCAGCTTGCTCCGTCAAACATCATAATTTTTAAATTTCATTTACCTTGATGTCCCCATCATAATATTTGCAATCTCTGCATAATGAAATGAAACATATGATAGAGCATTATGACATATGGCTGTGATTACCTTTGGCCTCTTGCCTATGGCTGAATCACTTAAATATTACTGATAATATAATATAACAGCCTATATAAAAATTATTTTCAATTATTTACATCATCACAAACCCATAAAATTTATTTGGAAACCCATATTATTGCTGATGCCAATCAATAATCCTCTATTTTGTTACACAACCAGAACCAATCCTGACCCCCCTTGGTAAACCATGAACAATTTGCCATTGCCACACTGTAACACCTGACACCCCAGTAATCCCACTATCCTCCTTTAACTAGTTCTGGTGAAAGTGTAATTCCTGATATCAGAAGACACTTAATATCAAGAATTCACCTTTTTAAATGAGAATGTGTTTAGAATGATGTTTGTCTACTATTGTTTCTGTACAATAACATTCTCTGACTCAATAAAAATTTGATACAAAAAAAAGAATTCACCTTCTAAATTGTACAAATTGAATTCTTGATATCAAAAATGCATATCCTGTAAATGAATAAAAGCTAAAATGGTGCCATAGCATGTCACTGTGTTTTAAATTATAAAAGCAATTCTTCATACTTGATGGATCCATATTGACCCGAATCTCCAGCCAATCAATATCTTAAGTTCAATGAAGCCTATAAATCAATAGTCAATACATTCCTTTCCATCTTGCATTAGTGCAGAGTTGTAACTAAACCTTGACTGAGAGATTAGATAATGATCGTCTTGTTTTAAAATAGTAACGAGGAGTGCCATCACGCCCATATTGTACGGGTCTCGACTTGGTTCTGCTGGAAAGTGCTTTTCTTTTTTTGCACGCGGATATGAATGTTACCGCGCGACATGGTTTTCAAGGAGTTTATATAACAGACACTGTTGTCCTTTGTCGTTTATTAAACATAATAAATCAACTCACATCAACTTATCTTCAGCCTACTGTTCGTTACTGACATCAAACTTGGAGAGGAGAGCACACAAGTCTACCGGATAACTGTTGCCGCAATTAAAGCGATGTCGGGTGACGTGACTTCATGTTGACGTTTAAAGTATTTTCAAACAAAACGGGAGGCTAGATAGACCCTCCCTCCTCCTCATCTGCACTGACCCCCCAAACCCCACCCCCAGGGCCTTCTCGTCAGTTATTGGCTGGAACAGTTTGTTATGTTTCGTGGACGGGTTGCCGCAGTTTGTCTTTGTTGCCATTTCTGGAGCCTAACTAGGTTGTCTGCATAGACCGTGTGTTTAGGGGACAGGCAGCTAGCGGATAGTGAGGAGATGTTTGCTGTATGTGACAAAAAATGTTTTGGCCTAAAAACGTGTGACATCACTTATAGAGCACCTTTAACTGAATGGTGTTTTTTCTTCTTCTCTTTGTTCGTGACCAGAAGGATAGTTCCGCTTCATTTTCTCATCGATATTGTAAACATTGATTGACGCGCATTGACCCGAGGGGGAGTTGGGGCCCTACACAACTTGCGTAGTGTGCGTATTGGGCTGATCGGCCCTGAACACAACACAGTATATTACCAGTCGTAGTGTCCATGGTTGTAGTTTCTGTTGTTGTAGTTTCTGTTGTGGTTGTCTCTGGCATGACAGTAGTAGTGGTAGTGGTTATGTTGCTTGAATCTGAAATAAATTATAAATATTAGAAAAAAAAACAATTATCTCTTACATAAACGAAGGGCACATATTTACATATTTAAACATATTTACCTGCACAGTATGCCAGATAACAGGCAGTTGGCCTCACAAACTCATAGACATAATAATCTCCTGGACAGGCTTTGACTTTAATGGGATTGGACTGGAAATAGCAGCAGTTATTGCTCCAGTGACCGCAGACATCTCGAGTGACCACTCCATCCTCAACTGTTGGATGTCCTCCGTTCAGCCACAGAGGAGCATGAGTGCCACAACTATACTCATCAACACATGTGTCCGGCATCTGAACGCTCTGACCCTGAATGAAGAGACGGTACCAGCCGTTCCAGCTGACCGCAGTGTCACACATTATCTGAGAGGAATGTTGATTGTTGGTGGCTCTCCATGAATCATCCAGGATATTGTAGTTGTAGCAGGGGTCAACAGGGGGAGCTGTTGTGAAGGAAATATTAAAAATATATATTTTGAGGAATGAATAAATAAATGTTTTTTGATGTGTATTTTTTTGTAATGGTTAAGTCATTAAACAGTTTACACTGTCTACTTAAGCTCACTGTTTTATTTGCATTTTAAGTTGACAATTTGTCGAAAGCTTTCAGAACATCTCTCATCTAGCTGACAAAACGAGATAAAAACAGCCAAATTTGAGTCCCTTTGAGTCTACACACTGTTGATTGAAAATGATAATTTTGTTTGTTCTTTCAAAATTAAAACGTCTTAATTTTAGAACTGACTGTGTCCACATTAAAAAAGTTTTTTTTAAGTAAGTGACATTATACAATTATATTTATACATTTATTCTTTTATACATTCATACAGTTTTATAGTATATTGTTGTTCTTTGTATCAATATCATTTACTATGTTTTTTTTTTGTGGTTATTTTAGACAAATATAATCCAGATATAATAATCTATAAATATCTGTCTGTAAATGCAGCAATTTCCCTCTTTCTAGTGGTAGGTGTATGCAGACAGGGGTTATGAACTGAGTTTGAGAAACACTGGTGGTTTGGATTTCACTGTTAACAAAGTTTCAGTTCTTCACTTTGTGTAAAAATACCTTCTGTTTACATTCAAATATAGAGAGTTTGAATTGCATAATCATTTGTGAGCTGAATTGCTTTTTACTAATGTAATTTTTGTAAATATTTTCTGCAGAAATTAATTTAGCTATGAATTTAATTAATCTGATTAACAGGAACATTTTAAGAGATCATGTTTAATAAAAATACATGTCCAAAAATATGAGAGTTTATAAAGGAAGTAAGACAATATTTACCAGTGGTTGTGATTGGTGGAGTAATGGATCCTATGGATGGGATCGTCTCTGTTGTTGATGAGATGGACTGGTTTGGGGCTTCTGGTATTAGGAACATTTTATATTAACAACAATCATTTCATTTTAATTCAAACAAAATCCATGTAAGTAAATGGCTGAGATCACATGAGTAAGTGCTCACCAACACAGTAAGCTCCACAAAACATTGGCTTGACAAACTCATAAACGTAGTAATTTCCTGGACAGGCTTTGACTCTTATAGGATGGGATGTGTAAGTACAGCAGACACCCCATGAGGAGACACAGACCTGACGGGTGACCACTCCATCCTCCAGCTGTGGGTGAGCGCCGTTGAGCGTCAGTGGATCATAAGTGCCACATGTGTACTGATTTACACATGATTCTGGCATCTGAGCATTTTCACCATTGTAGAACATCCTGTACCAGCCATTCCACTCCACATTATAATCACACATGCCATCGAAGTTAAAGGAAGAATTGTCTGTGGACCTCCAAGGCTCATCCAGACTGGTATAGTTGTAGCAGGGGTCGACACTTGGGGTGGAGAAAGACACTATTAAGGAACAAACAGAAGGAGAGCATTATATATTGCAGATTAAATATATTCACATTAATAATATGAATATAAATCAATACAATTCATGATAAGCATGTCAGATATAAAGATGAATGAATATACCTGCACAATACACAGGAACTGGGATTGAAAGAGTTGGTCTGATAAATTTGTAGACATAATAATTTCCAGGACAAGCTTTGACTTGGATTGGGTCGGATCTGTAGTGACTGCACTGTTCATAATGGGAGCCGTAAACTTCACGAGTAACAACTCCATCTTCTAGCCGAGGATGAGAGTCACCAAGATACAGAGAACTAAAACCTCCACATGTCATATAATTAAAACACCACTCAGGCATTTGAGCACTTGATCCATCAATGAAGAGCCGATACCAGCCGTCCCATTCTACACGAGTGTCATCATTATCAATTATGTATCCATAACTAGACCAGTAATTGAGTGTGCTTCTCCAGTAGTTGTCAAGTGTGTTGTAGTTATTACACGGGTCATAATCTGTTAGAGTGAGAGATGATGAGACCAAAACAAGTTATATTTCAATGAGGAACTTCACGAGCGCAAATCTGAACCAGTCAAACACTGTAATAATGAGATTCATAAACCATTCATACACAATGCAACTGTGTAATAGTGAAAATGTTTATGCACAAAAAAATCAATTTAAACTGTAATGCAAATCTTTAATTGAAAAGAAAAATATAATTTTTAATAACACTCAAATATTCATATATATTATTTACAACTTACTCAAGTTGATGGTGGATCCAGTGAATTTATCTGGACTCACAGTGGAAACCGCCTGTGAAATAGTGCTGACATCTAAAAAGAAGGAAATTCATGTCATAAGAGAAATAATTTTAAAAGGTTTAAAATACTTAAATAAATGAGAAAATCACAGTACCTGTGCAGTATCCTGAACACCACCAAGCTTGATTCACAAGTTCATAGACATAGTAATTGCCTGGACACGCTTTCACTCTGATGGGTTTAAACTTGTAATCACAGCAGCTTCCCCAATAAGCCCCTCCACAGATCTCCCTGATCACCACTCCATCCTCTATCTGAGGGTGAGGATCACTGAGCCACAGATTATAGTATGTGTTACAGGTGAATGTACTAATGCAGGTCTCTGACATCCGGATGTCCATTCCATAGTAGAAAAGCCGGTACCAGCCATTCCAGGAGAACATGTCATCACAAATTTCACCTCCACTTTCATTGTTGGCTCTCCAGGGACGATCCAGAGACTCATAGTTGTAGCAGGGATCACTGCTGATGCTTTGGAAAGCAACTGTCATGGAGTTTGCAAAAGTACTGTTAAAATGTATTACATCCTAAAGAGCATAAGAGTTTTATACCATCAGACCAGTTATGATGGTTACATAATTTCGAGCAATTATATTGTAACCAGTGGTGTAGCCTACTTGTGACAAGTAAGTGTGAAAAGTGGTATGTGACATTATAGTTCATAATTCATTATTGCATATAAAATAGTCTGTTATATAATGCGTATTAAGTTTTGTCACTGTTAAAATGAGAATATTAAGAAGTTGAATGCAGATAATGCTGATCTTCGTCTGTATGGGTTAATTTTTCGTCGATCGTTTGGTAATGCCTTGGGGTTTCAGTAGGGGGATTCCGCGCGCTTCTCTTCCCCATCCCCATTCAATACAGACGAGTGAAGGTGAGAGTGCGAGTTTCTTCACTTTTCTCATTATTTTTCCCCTTTTTTAAGGTAATGACCACTCACAAAGCAATGTAGATTTTGACACATGTTGATATTAGGCTACATTTCGTTATGTAACTGTTTTATACGAGTAAAAGAGATGTTTTACGTGTGTATATCGTTAAAGGTGCCATCTGTAAAAATTGAGGTTAAAATATCCCAAAAATTAGCAACACGCATCAAAAGATTGAGAAGAAATAAGGTTGATGATGTCATTAAAAAACTGACAAGTAATAGTGCTGCCGAGATATTAACCTGAATTAGCATGCTAAATTACTAGCCCCGGCCCGTTAGGTGTCGTAATACCAGTTTCGACCATGGGAGGCGGTATGCGGGCGGGCAACGTTACCACCAGCCAAACTGCAGTACACGAGTAAGTCGCGCTCGCGCCAGCTTGTGTGTACTTGAACCTGACGTCAGTCGTGTGGAAAATACAGCCCACTACTACATTTCAGTTCAGGGAAGAGTTAAAAAAAAATTATTGGTCGATATTATGCATGAGGAATACATTTTGGTAAGTTGTAGCATACTGTATCTTTCAACAGTGTTCGTGTTCTTTTACCATTAGCTAGTAGATGATCGGTTCACGTGCGCTAGGGATCTGTCGTGTAAAGCGCCAATACTGTATTTATTGTTTGAATTGCGTAATAAAATGAACAGAATCTGAGAGCTGACATCGGTCTCCGTGTCCTTTTCTGTGCATGACAAAATTGATGTGTGGCGTGAGAGTGTGTGAAAAGTGTTGTGAGAGTTGGCAGCTCTGAAAGACGCTAGCTTGGTCCACATCAGGTAATGCTGTCTGTCAAATTAATTCAAACTAATGATAAAAATGTAATATGAACAAATCGAATATCATAAAACTAGAAATAATAGCCTGGGCTTTAATTTTCCCATATCGTCGAAATGCACCGACTTGTCTATGAGACGGCCCTTATAATTTAGTATTGAGATGTTGTTCATTAAGTCTCTAATCTCTGAAAATCTCCAAATGCTCCACGTGAAACTGCGGTCTTCCAACCTTTTACTATCGCGTCAATTGATTTGATTAATATGCACGAGGGAGACAGAGCAACACAGCTCTCGCCCATATTGTTTGAAGACATGAGAGAGCGCGTGGCCGTGGAGGTATTTCTGGAGGTATACTGCCCCCATCTGGTATGGAACATGTTGTATGATTTGATTTTAAATCCCATTTGGCACCTTTAAAGAGTTTTGTGCTAACTGAGATGTGTGTGTCACGTTATGCTAGCAGCCGGAGACCTTGAGACTGTGGTCCTGAATCTGATGAGTGCACTAATATTGAAATGTATGTTTTCTTATACATTGTTCAAAAACTCATTCAATACAGACGAGTGAAGACGAGAGCTGCGTGTGTGCGAGTTTCTTCACTTTTCTAATTATTTTTCCCCTTTTTAAGGGCACAACACTGTCTGTCAGGCTAAAGTGGAGCAAGTATTTCTGACAGAACCCTGTAGAACGGGACAGAGCAACACCTGAGGAGGGGCTACATATGACAAGAGGACTGTGGAGTAATATCACAATGTTATGCCAGGTCTAGGTGCTGATGTGTAACATAATAACCCACTATACAGAATGGATAATGAACTGCACACCACTGATTCTAACTAGTTAAAACATACTTATTTCAGAAAACAAAAGATGTGTGTTAAATTATCTAAAAGTTAAAGCATTTACACTTTATCATGACATAGAAAAATCCAAAAGATAAGATTGAATATTGTACCTGCACAGTACATAGGCTGGGGGGATGATATGATGGGTTTGACAAATTCATAGACGTAATAATCTCCTGGACAGGCTTTGACTCGGATGGATGAGGAACTGTAGGCGCCACACTGATTGGAATACCACCAATACCATGAATAAGTCCCCAAGACTCCACGGGTCACCACTCCATCCTCAAGTGTTGGATGAGAACCGTTGAGAGACAGTGCAGTCTGACCTCCACATCCCACATAACTCACACACCACTCAGACATCTGGGCACTTTCTCCATTCAGATACAGCCGATACCAGCCGCCCCATTCAACAAGAGTGTCGTCATATTCATAGTACTGAAATGGGCTCTGCCGTATGTCTCTCCAGGATTCATCAAGAGTGTTATAATCATAGCATGGATCAGTTGTAGATTCTGAGAGAAAAAGAAAAAATAGACTCATTCACTACGGTGACAAACAGATATTGGGATAGTGAAATGAGGATGAATTAAAGGGGGTCATATTATGGTTCTAAAAAATAACATTATTTTGTGTATTTGGTTTAATGTAATGTATTTACATAGTTTTAGGTGTAAAAAAAGTAATTATCTTACACATACTGTATATTATATGCCCCACCGACCTTTCTAAAAAGCATTGATTTTTACAAAGCTCATCGTTTTGAAAAGCGCGGTGTGCTCTGATTGGCCAGCGATCCAGTGCATTGTGATTGGCCCAAAAAACTAAAGCGAGTGACGGAAATGTCACGCCCCTCACCATATCTGGAACATCAGCGCCCACACCAATGATGAAATTGCAGATGACCAAACTGATCGATCAACTATACAAGCGGCTGGACCAGATCGTATCAGATTGGCAAAGTTTTATTTCATTGGAGACATATTTACTGATTATAATGATTTGTCTTTGTATGAGTCACGACAGCTTTAGCCCTTCGGTTGCCCTAGGCGAAATTGAGTTTTGAAAATGATAAGTATTTATTAAACTAAACAAAAATGCTCTTATAGTCAAAAACTTCAACAAGCAAATTATGACTTAAAGGATCAACTGTAATAAATTGTTCATTCAAATGCAAAGAACGTTCAAGGGTATTTCTATCATCCTACATAGTGCACTGTACAAATAGATTTTATCTGACCATGTAACTTGTAGTAGGTAAATTATAATTACTACCACCACTACTATTAATACTAATCTATTCGGCTGCTACAAGGCCAAGGGGGGTTCGGGGGTATGCACCCCGTAAGGAAATTTTGTGTATTTAAATGCAACCCATATTCAGAGAGCAAATTGAACAAAGACAAATTCAAACTGCTTTTAGTTGCAGTGTCTGTTTAGATTACACTACTAGCTCCATAATAATAGTTATAATATTAATCACAGTTATAGCCATAGGCTATATTGTAAAACAAATGCACTGAAAAATAAAGTAAACTTCATAAGAAGTTTTGTAGAAATTTCTATATTTGAAAGTAAGTTATAGTATACTTGGAAGTAACCCAGCGCCGCCAATTAAGCAAAACAAAAACAAAAAACATATGGGCCGCCGATGTATGAGTTTTATAGGCCGTTAAGGCAAAAATAATAATTATGCGATGTAATTTATCGGCCCAAAAAGCACGTCGGCCCCCCGGGAATCTCCCGGTAGTTCCGGTGGCCAATACATGCCTGTGCACAATACTAAGTTAATTTATTTCGTTTGACACCTTATGGCTGAGATGAGACGACTATGGGTTTTCTTTTTATCTTGTTGCTTTCTCCGTTTTCGTCCCTGTGCGGGTTTAGATCACTTCATTTTCGATCAACACACCAGCAGTGTCACGAAACACACACAGAGAGGCGGAAAAATCCAGGTGCAGTAATTTATTTAAAGGGCAATCCAAAATTGTAGTAATGCATGCAGAGATCAAAATCCAGAGAAGCAATCCAAAACAAGAATGGGAAATCAGACAAGAAGTGTGGTGACACAAAACAATGACTCCATACACATACTAACACAGACAGGGAATACACATCTCTAACAAGACTAAAGGCCATTGCACACTGAGTACGAAATATTCGTATGCATATTTTCGTGTTCGTCAGCCTAAAAATTATTCACGCATAGAAACCTTGCACACCGAGTCCGTTGCGTATTAATTAAACCTTTGGGGGGAAAAACGCAAAAATACCAAATGGATTCGTCAAGCAGTGAGGATGATTTTTGCCCTCTCTCTTATTGAAAAGGGAAGAAAGAGAAAATATTACGTCCATCCAATCCTGAAATTGCGCCGAGAGGAAGGAGAGTTTTATCAAGGAGTTGCGAATTTATCCTGAGCGATTCAAAATTTACCTCAGAATGTCAGTGGGACAGTTTGATGCTTTGCTAGCGATTCTGGAGCCACATATTAAAAACAAGACCACCAATTTCCGTGAACCAATCGATTCTGAACGGAGACTGGCAGTGTGTGTGTCTGGTATGGACCAGGTATGGACACACACACACAAACACACACCCGCGCGCGGCCCGGTGGAAGCGCTGGGCAGACAGAACAGCTAGGCTGTTATTGTGTATATATTGTGCCCAAATAATACATCGAATAGGCTCCTCAATCACACCATATTCGATCCTAAATTTCAATCTGATTGAAAGGGGAGGTTTATTAATTTCATAATCCAATATAGAGAAGAGAACATAAACACTTGATTGAATTGAAAACCGAAACTGAAAGCACGGCGCATATGTGCAATGATTTGAGGACGAGCTCCTCCCGGCCGTGAATTGTCAAAAGACCTCTCAAAATGCTGGCTCTGGATGCGAAAAACGCAGAAAATCGAACCCGATCCGATTCATTTTATGACGGACGAAAGTTTCGGAGGCGTTGTGCAAGCGTGACTGACATAACGTGAGGTCGAATTTTTTTTTTTACGTGCGAAAATTTCGGATGCGAATAACGGGGAACAGCTAATAAGTGCAATGATCAGTAAGTGACAGAACAGGATGATGGGAAATGCAGTTCCAGATAGTGAAAGACACAGTGGGGAAGGAGGATATCTAGTGGACAAACAAGGGAACACAACCAGACACCGTGACATAACCCCCCCTCTACGGAGCGGCTACCAGACGCTCCAAGACAACACTAAAAAACATGACACGAGTGTCCTGTTTGTTTGTGTCCTAAATGAGTTTCGCTGGCTGAATAGTTGGGCGTGGCCTGCTGACTGTATTCATTAACGGGGTATAAGGCGTGTATTTAACTGGTTAGTGCACCGCGGCTGCCCTCGTGTGAAGACCAAAGAGTGTAAAGACCAGCGACTCTACCTGTGCGACTCCACCGAGCAAGGACACCGACAAGACACCTGAGTATTAAATTCTTCTTGTTTATTTATTGTTTATTTCTTTTCTCTTCTTTAACTCTTCGTCACATCTTTCTGTTTGTGAGCTCCTTTACACTATGCGTTTTCAAATCCCTACTATTACTAACACACATAAATCAAATGTCCAACACATTCTCATCCTTTAGCGTCATATAGAACGCTATGACAAAACGGTGCTATACTACGCACATGGCACACGTTATCGTTAATATAACACGCGCTGTGATGGTTAGGTTTAGGTGTGGGGTAGGCTAGGGTAGTCTCATATTACGCTAAAGGATTTATGACGCCTTGGGTTCGCGTGTTATATTAACGATAAAGCGTGCCATGTGCGTAGTACAGCGCCGTTTTGTCATATAGCGTTCCATGTGACGCTAAAGGATGAGAACGGGCTGAAATGTCACACGTCGGAGGCGGTACAATCCTAACAATCTCCGTACCCTTCCTGTGTCTTCTAATACTTTATTCACTTTTCCTATTGGTCTCTGGAACTGCCAGTCCGCTGTTAACAAAGCTGATTTCATTACATCTTTTTCAAGTCATTCAGGTCACAGTCTATTGGCCCTGACTGAGACCTGGATCAGACCAGAGGACACTGTCACACCTGCTGCCCTCTCCACTAACTTCACTTTCTCACACACACACCCCGTCTGACCGGAAGAGGTGGTGACTGGAACTTTGATCCTTTACCACCTCTATGACAACAGCTTTGACAACCATCACTAGTCCTACTAAAATCCATTTCGTAGTTGTATATCGTCCACCAGGTTAAATTGAAAGTTTCTTGGAGGAGCTTGATGTGCTACTCTCATCCTTCCCTGAAGACGGTACTCCTCTTGTAATTCTTGGAGACTTTAACATCCACCTAGAAAAACCTCAGGCTGCTGATTTGCTCGCCTCATTCGACCTCAAACGAGTATCTACTGTGGCTACTCACAAATCACGTAACCAATTGGACCTTATCTATACAAGCAAATGCTCTACGGACAATACAATGGTCACTCCACTACACACCTTAGATCACTTCCTCCTCACTCTCAACCTCAACCTGCCTCAGAACGCAACACACACTCCTCCACAGGTCACCTTTCGACAGAACCTGCTCACTTTCACCCTCTCACCTATCCTCTTTGGTCTCATCCACACTTCCTCCACCTGATCAGCTCTCAACACTAGATACTAACAGTGCAACTCATACTCTCTCCTCCACTTTAACATCCTGCTTGGACAACTTCTGTCCCCTTAAGACCGATATCTCTTCTTCCATTTGACGCGAAAACACTTGAACGAGTTATTTTCAACCAGATCTCCTCCTTTCATACACAGAACAACCACTTGGACAAAAATCAAACTGAGACTGCCCTGCTCTCACGCCGCCTTCACACTGGCAGTTGAAATCAGCTCCGATGCGGCTGCGAAACGACCGGAAGTCATTCATTTCCTATGGAGATTCGCAGACCGCATGCGAATGGGTCCGAAACGAGTGCGGTGCGAAGAAAATCGTGTCCGTTGGTCATCCGGATGCGTTCAAAAATGTGAACTCGTGCGAAAAGCTACGGACGGTTCCTATGAAGAAATCTCTGAATGAAGAAATTACACTGGTTATGAGTACACATTACTTATTTGCAGTTAAAAATAAGTCACTGTGCCACAAGCGATAACGGATAATTTACCTCAGATTTTGAAAGCATATAATATAGCGTTCAAAATGAATTCTATGCAAACATACGACTGTACTTCATAACAAAATTAGCCAATGGGTATATTTCGTTAATGTTTTGATTTTTAATAATGTTATTTCTTGATTTGATTATGTCCTTACCCATTTCCAATGCGAGTGCGGGTCAGCGGTGCGCGGAGTGACTCACCGAGAGACTCCGCTCACACACTGTTCTGAATGTGTGGCGTCTCACAGTCGTGTCGCGTCTAGTGTGGACAGACACACTTACTGTCGCTGGAATTTTATCGCGTCGCGTGTAGTACACGGTGTTAGGGTGTCATGGAGAGGTGTGGCATCTAAGACCCAACATCTAGCTACTGGCGTGCCTCAGGGCTCAGTGCTTGGACCACTCCTCTTCTCCATCTACATGACATCACTAGGATCTGTGATTCAGAAACATGGCTTATCCCATCATTGCTACGCTGATGACACGCAACTCTACCTCTTATTCCAGCCTGCTCGTATCTCAGCCTGCCTGACAGACATTTCTGGCTGGATGAAGGACCACCACCTTCAACTAAACCTTGCAAAGACAGAGCTACTTGGGATCCCGGCCAACCCAACACTTCATCACATCTTCTCCATTCAGCTTGGCTCATCATCCATAAGTCCATCACGGTCAGCTAGGAACCTTGGGGTTGTAATTGATGATCAGTTGAACTTCACAGACCACATTGCTAGAACTACCCGGTCCTGCAGATTTGCCTTGCACAACATTAGGAGGATCAGGCCCTTCCATACAGAGCATGCTACACAACTCCTTGTCCAAGCACTTGTTCTATCCAGACGGGACAATTGTAATGCTCTCCTGGCTGGTCTTCCAGCTTGCTCCGTCAAACATCATAATTTTTAAATTTCATTTACCTTGATGTCCCCATCATAATATTTGCAATCTCTGCATAATGAAATGAAACATATGATAGAGCATTATGACATATGGCTGTGATTACCTTTGGCCTCTTGCCTATGGCTGAATCACTTAAATATGACTTACAATATAATATAACAGCCTATATAAAAATTATTTTCAATTATTTACATCATCACAATCCCATAATATTTGGAAATCCATGTTATTGCTGATGCCAATCAATAATCCTCTATTTTGTTACACAACCAGAACCAATCCTGACCCCCCTTGGTAAACCATGAACAATTTGCCATTGCCACACTGTAACACCTGACACCCCAGTAATCCCACTATCCTCATTTAACTAGTTCAGAAGACACTTAATATCAAGAATTCACCTTTTTAAATGAGAATGTGTTTAGAATGATGTTTATGTCTACTATTGTTTCTGTACAATAACATTCTCTGACTCACTAAAAATTTGATACAAAAAAAGAATTCACCTTCTAAATTGTACAAATTGAATTCTTGATATCAAAAATGCATATCCTGTAAATGAATAAAAGCTAAAATGGTGCCATAGCATGTCACTGTGTTTTAAATTATAAAAGCAATTCTTGATACTTGATGGATCCATATTGACCAGAATCTCCAGCCAATCAATATTTAAGTTCAATGACTCCCATAAATCAATAGTCAATACATTGCTTTCCATCTTGCATTAGTGCAGAGTTGTAACTAAACCTTGACTGAGAGATTAGACAATGATCGTCTTGTTTTAAAACAATAACATAACGAGGAGTGCCATCACACCCATATTGTACGGGTCTCGACTTGGTTCTGCTGGAAAGTGCTTTTCTTTTTTTGCACGCGGATATGAATGTTACCGCGCGACATGGTTTTCAAGGAGTTTATATAACAGACACCGTTGTCCTTTGTCGTTTATTAAACATAATTAATCAACTCACATCAACTTATCTTCAGCCTACTGTTCGTTACTGACATCAAACTTGGAGAGGAGAGCACACAAGTCTACCGGATAACTGTTGCCGCAATTAAAGCGATGTCGGGTGACGTGACTTCTTGTTGACGTTTAAAGTATTTTCAAACAAAACGGGAGGCTAGATAGACCCTCCCTCCTTCTCATCTGCACTGAGCCCCCAAACCCCACCCCCAGGGCCTTCTCGTCAGTTATTGGCTGGAACAGTTTGTTATGTTTCGTGGACGGGATGCCGCAGTTTGTCTTTTTTGCCATTTCTGGAGCCTAACTAGGTTGTCTGCATGGACCGTGTGTTTAGGGGACAGGCAGCTAGCGGATAGTGAGGAGATGTTTGCTGTATGTGACAAAAAATGTTTTGGCCTAAAAAACGTGTGACATCGCTTAGAGCACCTTTAACTGAATGGTGTTTTTTCTTCTTCTCTTTGTTCGTGACCAGAGGGATAGTTCCGCTTCATTTTCTCATCGATATTGTAAACATTGATTGACGCGCGTTGACCCGAGGGGGAGTTGGGGCCCTACACAACTTGCGTAGTGTGTGTATAAGGGCTGATCGGCCCGAAACACAACACAGTATATTACCAGTCGTAGTGTCCATGGTTGTAGTTGTCTCTGGCATGACAGTAGTAGTGGTAGTGGTTATGTTGCTTGAATCTGAAATAAAATTATAAATATTGGATTTTAAAAAAAAACATCTCTTACATAAACGAATGGCACATGTAAATATATTTACCTGCACAGTATGCCAAACTGCAGGAAGTTGGCCTCACAAACTCATAGACATAATAATCTCCTGGACAGGCTTTGACTTTAATGGGATTGGACTGGAAATAGCAGCAGTTATTGCTCCAGTGACCGCAGACATCTCGAGTGACCACTCCATCCTCAACTGTTGGATGTCCTCCGTTCAGCCACAGAGGAGCATGAGTGCCACAACTATACTCATCAACACATGTGTCCGGCATCTGAACGCTCTGACCCTGAATAAAGAGACGGTACCAGCCGTTCCAGCTGACCCAAGTGTCACACATTATCTGAGAGGAATGTTGATTGTTGGTGGCTCTCCATGAATCATCCAGGATAGTGTAGTTGTAGCAGGGGTCAACAGGGGGAGCTGTTGTCATGGAAATATTAAAAATATATATTTTGAGGAATGAATAAATAAATGTTTTTTGATGTGTATTTTTTTGTAATGGTTAAGTCATTAAACAGTTTACACTGTTTACTTAAGCTCACTGTTTCATTTGCATTTTAAGTTGACACTGAAGACAATTTGTCGAAAGCTTTCAGAACATCTCTCATCTAGCTGACAAAACGAGATAAAAACAGCCAAATTTGAGTCCCTTTGAGTCTACACACTGTTGACTGAAAATGATAATTTTGTTTGTTCTTTCAAAATGAAAACGTCTCAATTTTAGAACTGAACGTGCCCCCATTAAAAAAGTTTTTTTCAAGTAAGTGACATTATACAATTACATTATATTATTATTATTTATTTATGTATTTATATTATTATTACATTATAGCAAAGAACAACAATATACTATGAAACTGTATGAATGAATAAAGGATATATATATATATATATATACTGTATATTATAGCCTTTTATACATTGATACAGTTTTATAGTATATTGTTGTTCTTTCTATCAATATCATTTACTATGTTTTTTTTGGTTATTTTAGATGAATATAATCCAGATATAATAATATATAAATATCTGTCTGTAAATGCAGTAATTTCCCTCTTTCTAATGGTAGGTGTATGCAGACAGGGGTTATGAACTGAGTTTGAGAAACACTGGTGGTTTAGATTTCATTGTTAACAAAGTTTCAGTTCTTCACTTTGTCTAAAAATACCTTCTGTTTACATTCAAATATAGAGAGTTTGAATTGCATAATCATTTGTGAGCTGAATTGCTTTTTACTAATGTGATTTTTGTAAATATTTTCTGCAGAAATTAATTTAGCTATGAATTTACTTAATGTGATTAACAGGAACATTTTAAGAGATCATGTTTAATAAAAATACATGTCCAAAAATATGAGAGTGTGGTGAATGCAAGATACATAATTCACCTTTGTTAAGCGTAGTTCTATACACTGTTGGTTGTAAACACAGCACTCTGTTCTTCACGACTGTTAAGGGATCGCGTTCCCTTTAAATGCTCTGAACGTGTGTTCACGTGGGACGCATGTCAGCGCCATTTGCTATTATTATGTTTTCTTTCTAATAATAAACGACACACGCATTCGTGTGCTCAAAGTGAGAAGTTGTCTGTCGCAATTTACTGCAATTTCCACACTGGTGACCCCGACATTAGTCTGCTGGACGTATCCAGAGACACGACACGACCATGACCGCGAACGCTGTCACGCTTAAACTCCCCGAATTCTGGGAATCGTCAGCATCTGCATGGTTCGCCCAGACTGAAGCGCAGTTCGCGTTACGTGAGATCACCGCGGATACAACGAAATACTACTATGTTGTGTCGGCTCTCGGAAATTCAACAGCATCCAGAGTGGTGAGCCTTCTTACAAATCCTCCCGAAAATGAGAAGTATGCAGCACTCAAAGCCCACCTATTGAAAACGTTTGAATTGACGGACACTGAGAGAGCCAACAGGCTTTTCTCACTTCAAGGACTGGGTGACAGCAAACCGTCTGAGCTCATGGACCGCATGCTGGATCTTTTAGGTGAGCACAGACCAGATTTTCTATTCACACAGTTATTCCTGCGTCAGCTACCTACCCAAGTGAGAGCTGCATTAGCTAACACCACAATCACTGACTGTCGGAGACTGGCTGAAGAGGCCGATAAATTTTTTCTGGCGAGTCAAGGACATTGTGCGGCCGCGTTTTTTCCCGCGCACGTTGCTACGGTGACGGGGGACGATTCCACACTCATCGGTGCAACCACTTCTCGTCGGCAGCAGTCTTCTGGCCCCCAACAGCTTTCAGGCTTGTGTTTTTATCATGCAAAGTTTGGAAGTAAGGCTACCAAATGCCGTTCACCATGCAGTTTTGGTGGTTTGGGAAACGCCAGGGCCGGCGCTCAGTAGTGGCCATGAGTGTCGGCCGCGTAGACAGGCTGCTTTTCATCCGTGACAGCATCTCCGGACGCCGCTTTCTGTGTGACACGGGAGCACAGAGGAGCATCCTGCCTGCATCCCGTTTGGACATGGTGGCCGACAGCCACGGCCCCCCTATGGAAGCTGCCAATGGTAGCCCCATCCGCACATATGGAACGAGGTACGTCGAATTGTGTTTCGAAGGACAGCAGTTCGGCTGGGATTTTGTTACAGCAAAGGTAGCCATCCCCCTCCTCGGTGCTGATTTTTTGTGTGCACATGGATTGTTGGTGGATGTTAAGAACCACCGTCTGATTGACGCCGTTACGTTCTGTTCATATACGTGCACGCTCAGCGAGGCCGACTCCATACGACTGTCTAGCATGCTTTCAGCTTCCGATGATTTCCACCGACTACTGGCCAGTTTCCCAGCCCTCACTCAGCCCACTTTCTCTGCATCTGCCGTCAAGCATGGTGTGGAGCACCATCTCGCCACTTCTGGCCCACCCGTCTACGCCCGTGCTCGGCGCCTTGACCCGACCAAGCTGGCCGTTGCAAAGGCTGAGTTTGCGAATATGGAACGTCTGGGTATAGTCCGCCAATCCGACAGCCCGTGGGCGTCACCCCTCCACATCGTCCCCAAACCGGGCGGTGGCTGGCGGCCGTGTGGTGACTACAGGCGGCTTAATGAAGTAACGACACCTGACCGATACCCTGTCCCGAACATACAGGATTTTTCTGCACACCTGGCTGGAAAGATGATTTTTTCCAAAGTGGACCTCATCCGGGGATACCATCAGGTGCCAGTACACCCACGGGACATTCCCAAAACGGCAGTGATCACGCCATTTGGGCTTTTTGAGTTCCTGCGCATGCCGTTCGGCCTTAAAAATGCTGCCCAATCTTTTCAGCGCCTCATGGACTCTGTTTTGCGGGACCTGCCTTTCCTTTTTGTGTACTTGGATGACATCCTGGTAGCGAGCACGTCCAAGTCTCAGCACCTGGCACACCTCCGAACCCTTTTCGAGCGGCTTAGCCAACATGGATTAATTGTCAATCCCGCCAAGTGCCAGTTCGGTCTCTCCACCATCGACTTCCTGGGACACAGAGTCACTAAGGACGGGGCAGTCCCCCTCCCATCAAAGGTGGAGGCAGTCACACAGTTCCCACGTCCGCTCACTGTCAAATCCCTGCAGGAGTTCCTTGGGATGGTGAATTTTTACCACCGCTTCATTCCTCGGGCTGCTCAGCTCATGCGGCCCTTGCACGAGGCCTTGAAAGGTAAACCCAAGCAAGATGTGGACTGGACTGATAGCAGGGACGAGGCATTTGCCGCCACTAAGGCTGCCCTAGCGAACGCCACCATGCTGGCACATCCTTCTCCTACAGCCCCCATCGCCATCACCTCGGACGCCTCAGACTACGCTGTGGGTGCTGTTTATGAACAGTGGGTAGGTGGGGCCTGGCAGCCGCTGGCTTTCTTTAGCCGTCAGCTGCGCCCCTGTGAGCGGAAGTACAGCACTTTCGATCGGGAGCTGCTGGGTCTCTACTTAGCCATCAGACACTTTCGTTCAATGCTGGAAGGCCGACATTTCACTGCTTTTGTGGACCACAAGCCACTAACTTTTGCCATGGCCAAGGTAGCTGAGCCGTGGTCCGCCCGCCAGCAACGTCAACTGTCCTACATTTCAGAGTTCACCACGGACTTGCAGCACGTTGCTGGTAAGAACAACTGTGTGGCGGATTGCCTATCACGAGCTGTGGCAGGAGCAGTCCATCTTGGTTTGGATTACGAACGCATGGCGGCGACTCAGTCCACAGACCCGGATGTGCAACTCCTGAAGACCTCAAATACAGGGCTGCAGATCGAAGACGTGGTTTTTGGTGATGCTGGCACTACACTCCTGTGTGACATCTCTTTAGGTAATCCCCGGCCGGTCGTTCCCTCAGGATGGAGACGACAAGTTTTTGATGCCATCCATGGTCTCTCCCACCCAGGTTCAAAAGCGTCACAGAGACTGGTTGCAGCAAAGTTCGTTTGGCACGGTCTCAAGAAGGATGTTAGGGACTGGGCTAACACCTGTGTTGAGTGCCAACGTGCCAAAGTACACCGCCACACTAAAGCCCCGTTAGAGACTTTCCCGGTTCCTGAGAGGCGTTTTGACCATGTAAACGTGGACCTGGTTGGTCCTCTGCCCTCCTCTCATGGTTTCACGTATCTGTTAACCATGGTTGACAGGACCACCCGTTGGCCTGAGGTTGTGCCACTGACGTCAGTGGCGTCCGTCGAGATGACACGGGCATTTATTGCCACCTGGGTTGCCCGTTTCGGCACCCCTTCGGACATATCCTCTGACCGAGGTGCGCAGTTCACGTCTGAGCTGTGGGGCGCTGTCGCACGGAGCCTCGGAGTAAAACTCCACCACACGACCGCATATCATCCGCAGGCTAACGGACTCTGTGAACGTTTTCATAGGGCAATGAAGGCTGCCCTGCGTGCCAGCCTCAAAGACAGCAACTGGGTCGACAAGCTCCCGTGGGTGATGTTGGGCATCAGGACTGCACCTAAGGAGGACCTTCAGTCCTCATCCGCTGAGCTTGTTTATGGACAGCCGTTGCGGGTGCCAGGGGATTTCGTCCCTAACACCACAGTTCCCTGGTCTGCTACTCTTCAGCGATCTACTCTATTGGACAATGCGAGGCTTTTCGCACCTGTCCCAACTTCCTGTCACGGCCTCCCTCAGTCGCACATTCCTACTGGTCTTCAGACGGCTGACTATGTTTTCATTCGCCACGATGCCCACAGGGGACCGCTACGCCCACCCTACGAGGGCCCGTTCCGGGTTCTGGAGACAGGGGACAAACATTTTGTGGTGGACAGGGGTGGCAAACCGGAGCGACTCTCCATTGATCGCCTTAAGCCCGCTCACTTGGACATAGCTAGGCCTATTGACCTGGCTCAGCCCCCACGACGTGGACGGCCTCCTGCTCTGCCCCCACCCCTTGCTCCCCTACCTCCCACACTCAGTGCCCCACACCCGTGTCATAACGGGACGCAGGTTGCAGTGGGGTCTCCTCGACCTCCGGCACAGCGCAGCCGTTGTGGCCGGCTGATACGCCCACCTCCCCGTTGACTGTTTAGTTCTTTTCCTGATACGGTGAATTCTGGGGGGACGTGTGTGGTGAATGCAAGATACATAATTCACCTTTGTTAAGCGTAGTTCTATACACTGTTGGTTGTAAACACAGCACTCTGTTCTTCACGACTGTTAAGGGATCGCGTTCCCTTTAAATGCTCTGAACGTGTGTTCACGTGGGACGCATGTCAGCGCCATTTGCTATTATTATGTTTTCTTTCTAATAATAAACGACACACGCATTCGTGTGCTCAAAGTGAGAAGTTGTCTGTCGCAATTTACTGCAATTTCCACACGAGTTTATAAAGGAAGCAAGACAATACTTTACCAGTGGTTGTGATTGGTGGAGTAATGGATCCTATGGATGGGATCGTCTCTGTTGTTGATGAGATGGACTGGTTTGGGGCATCTGGTATTAGGAACATTTTATATTAACAACAATAATTTAATTTTAATTCAAACAAAATCCATGTAAGTAAATGGCTGAGATCACATGAGTAAGTGCTCACCAACACAGTAAGCTCCACAAACCGTTGGCTTGACAAACTCATAAACGTAGTAATTTCCTGGACAGGCTTTGACTCTTATAGGATGGGATGTGTAAGAACAGCAGCCATCCTGTGAGGAAACACAGACCTGACGGGTGACCACTCCATCCTCCAGCTGTGGGTGAGCGCCGTTGAGCGTCAGTGGTTCAGAAGTGCCACACGTGTACTGATTTACACATGATTCTGGCATCTGAGCATTTTCACCATTGTAGAACATCCTGTACCAGCCATTCCACTCCACATTATAATCACACATGCCATAGTAGTTAAAGGAAGAATTGTCTGTGGATCTCCAAGGCTCATCCAGACTGGTATAGTTGTAGCAGGGGTCGACACTTGGGGTGGAGAAAGACACTATTAAGAAACAAACAGAAGGAGAGCATTATATATTGCAGATTAAATATATTCACATTAATAATATGAATATAAATCAATACAATTCATGACAAGCATGTCAGATATAAAGATGAACTAGAAAAAAAAGTTTGATGACACAAACTTTAAGTTGGCTTGAGAAAGCCGGACCAGAGCGTTTGAAGAATCTTGAAGTTTGAATGAAGTTTTAAAGATGGAATTAGAAAGAATGAAAGAAAGAAAGAAAGATGGATAGATTAGTTAGAAAGAAAGAAAGATAGATAGATAGATAGATAGATAGATAGATAGATAGATAGATAGATGTTTTTGGCAAGAAGCTAACATGATTAGCATGTAGCTAGCTTGATGCTAATATGATTAGCATGTAGTTAAGATGATTAGCATGTTGTTAGCGTGATTAGCATGTTGCTAGCATCATAATAGCATGATTAGCATGTTGCTAGCATCATGCTAACATGTTTTTAGCAAGAAGCTGACATGATTAGCATGTAGCTAGCATCATGCTAGCATGATTAGCATGTTGCTAGCATCATGCTAGCATGTTTAGCAAGAAGTTAGCATGACTAGCATGTAGCTAGCATCATGCTAGCATGATTAGCATGTTGCTAACATCATGCTAACATGTTTTTAGCAAGAAGCTAGCATGATTAGCATGTAGCTAGCATCATGCTAGCATGATTAGCATGTTGCTAGCATCATGCTAGCATGTTTTTAACAAGAAGCTAGCATGATTATCATGTAGCTAGCATCATGCTAGCATGATTAGCATGTTGCTAGCATCATGCTAGCATGTTTTTAGCAAGAAGCTAACATGATTAGCATAAAGCAAGAAAGAAAGAAAGAAAGAAAGAAAGAAAGAAAGAAAGAAAGAAAGAAAGAAAAAGATTTGTTTGAAAGAAAGAAAGAAAGATGGAATTGTTAGAAAGAAAGAAAGAAAGAAAGAAAGAAAGAAAGAAAGAAAGAAAGAAAGATAGAATTGTTAGAAAGAAAGAAAGAAAGAAAGAAAGTGAAAGAAAGAATTGTTAGAAAGAAAGATGCATAGATTAGTTCGAAAGAAAGATGGATAGATTTGTTAGAAAGAAAGATGGATATATTAGTTAGAAAGAAAGATGGATAAATTTGTTAGAAAGAAAGATGGATAGATTTGTTAGAAAGAAAGGGATAGATTTGTTAGAAAGAAAGATGGATAGATTTGTTAGAAAGAAAGAACGATAGATTTGTTAGAAAGAAATATGGATAGATTTGATAGAAAGAAATATGGATAGATTTGTTAAAAGAAAGATGGATAGATTAGTTAGTGAGAAAGAGAGAATGATAGATTAGTTAGAAAGAAAGATGGATAGATTAGTTAGTTAGAAAGAAAGATAGATAGATTAGTTAAGTAGAAAGAAAGATGGATAGATTAGTTAGAAAGAAAGATGGAAAGATTAGTTAGAAAGAAAGATGGATAGATTAGTTAAGTAGAAAGAAAGATGGATAGATTTGTTAGAAAGAAAGATGGATAGATTAGTTAGGTAGAAAGAGAGAATGATAGATTAGTTAAGTAGAAAGAAAGATGGATAGATTAGTTAGAAAGAAAGATGGATAGATTTGTTAGAAAGAAAGATGGATAGATTAGTTAGTTAGAAAGAAAGATGGATAGATTAGTTAGAAAGAAAGAAAGATAGATAGATAGATAGATAGATAGATAGGTAGATAGATAGATAGATAGATAGATAGATAGATAGATAGATAGATAGATAGATAGATAGATAGATAGATGTTTTTGGCAAGAAGCTAACATGATTAGCATGTAGCTAGCTTGATGCTAATATGATTAGCATGTAGTTAAGATGATTAGCATGTTGTTAGCGTGATTAGCATGTAGCTAGCATCATGCTAGCATGATTAGCATGTAGCTAGCATCATGCTAGCATGTTTTTAGCAAGAAGCTAGCATGATTAGCATGTAGCTAGCATCATGCTAGCGTGTTTTAGCAAGAAGCTAGCATGATTAGCATGTAGCTAGCATCATGCTAGCATGATTAGCATGTTGCTAGCATCATGCTAGCATGTTTTTAGCAAGAAGCTAGCATGATTAGCATGTAGCTAGCATCATGCTAGCATGATTAGCATGTTGCTAGCATCATGCTAACATGTTTTTAGCAAGAAGCTAGCATGATTAGCATGTAGCTTGCATCATGCTAGCATGATTAGCATGTTGCTAGCATCATGCTAGCATGTTTTTAGCAAGAAGCTAACATGATTAGCATGTAGCTAGCATCATGCTAGCATGATTAGCATGTTGCTAGCATCATGCTAGCATGTTTTTAGCAAGAAGCTAACATGATTAGCATGTAGCTAGCATCATGTTAGCATGATTAGCATGTAGCTAGCATCATGCTAGCATGATTAGCATGTAGTTAGCATCATAATAACATGATTAGCATGTTGTTAGCATCATGCTAGCATGTTTTTAGCAAGAAGCTAACATGATTAGCATGTAGCTAGCATCATGCTAGCATGATTAGCATGCAGCTAGCATCATGCTAGCATGTTTTTAGCAAGAAGTTAGCATGATTAACATGTAGCTAGCAACATGCTAGCATGATTAGCATGTAGCTAGCATCATGCTAGCATGATTAGCATGTTGCTAGCAAGAAGCTAGCATGATTAGCATGTAGCTATCATCATACTAACATGATTAGCATGTAGCTAGCATCTTGCTAGCGTGTTTTTAGCAAGAAGCTAGCATGATTAGCATGTAGTTAGCATCATAATAACATGATTAGCATGTTGCTAGCATCATGCTAGCATGTTTTTAGCAAGAAGCTAGCATGATTAGCATGTTGCTAGCATCATGCTAGCATGTTTTTAGCAAGAAGTTAGCATGATTAGCATGTAGCTAGCATCATGCTAGCATGATTAGCATGTAGCTAGCATCATGCTAGCATGTTTTTAGCAAGAAGCTAGCATGATTAGCATGTAGCTATCATCATACTAACATGATTAGCATGTAGCTAGCATCATGCTAGCGTGTTTTTAGCAAGAAGCTAGCATGATTAGCATGTAGCTAGCATCATGCTAGCATGATTAGCATGTAGCTACCATCATGCTAGCGTGTTTTTAGCAAGAAGCTAGCATGATTAGCATGTAGCTAGCATCATGCTAGCATGATTAACATGTAGCTAGCATCATGCTAGCATGTTTTTAGCAAGAAGCTAGCATGATTAACATGTAGCTAGCATCATGCTAGCGTGTTTTTAGCAAGAAGCTAGCATGATTAGCATGTAGCTAGCATCATGCTAGCATGATTAGCATGTAGCTAGCATCATGCTAGCGTGTTTTTAGCAAGAAGCTAGCATGATTAGCATGTAGCTAGCATCATGCTAGCATGATTAGCATGTTGCTAGCATCATGCTAGCATGATTGGCATGTTGCTAGCATCATGCTAACATGTTTTTAGCAAGAAGCTAGCATGATTAGCATGTAGCTAGCATCATGCTAGCATGTTTTTAGCAAGAAGCTAACATGATTAGCATAAAGCAAGAAAGAAAGAAAGAAAGAAAGAAAGAAAGAAAGAAAGGAAAAGATTTGTTTGAAAGAAAGAAAGAAAGATGGAATTGTTAGAAAGAAAGAAAGAAAGAAAGAAAGAAAGATAGAATTGTTAGAAAGAAAGAAAGAAAGAAAGAAAGTGAAAGAAAGAATTGTTAGAAAGAAAGATGCATAGATTAGTTAGAAAGAAAGATGGATAGATTTGTTAGAAAGAAAGATGGATATATTTGTTAGAAAGAAAGATGGATAGATTTGTTAGAAAGAAAGGGATAGATTTGTTAGAAAGAAAGATGGATAGATTTGTTAGAAAGAAAGAACGATAGATTTGTTAGAAAGAAATATGGATAGATTTGATAGAAAGAAATATGGATAGATTTGTTAAAAGAAAGATGGATAGATTAGTTAGTGAGAAAGAGAGAATGATAGATTAGTTAGAAAGAAAGATGGATAGATTAGTTAGTTAGAAAGAAAGATAGATAGATTAGTTAAGTAGAAAGAAAGATGGATAGATTAGTTAGAAAGAAAGATGGAAAGATTAGTTAGAAAGAAAGATGGATAGATTTGTTAGAAAGAAAGATGGATAGATTTGTTAGAAAGAAAGATGGATAGATTAGTTAGAAAGAAAGATGGATAGATTTGTTAGAAAGAAAGATGGATAGATTAGTTAGTTAGAAAGAAAGATGGATAGATTAGTTAGAAAGAAAGATGGATAGATTAGTTAGAAAGAAAGAACGATAGATTAGTTAGAAAGAAAGATGGATAGATTAGTTAGAAAGAAAGATGGATAGATTAGTTAGAAAGAAAGAACGATAGATTAGTTAGAAAGAAAGATGGATAGATTAGTTAGAAAGAAAGATGGATAGATTAGTTAGAAAGAAAGATGGATAGATTAGTTAGAAAGAAAGAACGATAGATTTGTTAGAAAGAAAGATGGATAGATTTGTTAGAAAGAAAGATGGATAGATTAGTTAGAAAGAAAGATGGATAGATTAGTTAGAAAGAAAGATGGATAGATTTGTTAGAAAGAAAGATGGATAGATTAGTTAGAAAGAAAGATGGATAGATTAGTTAGAAAGAAAGAAAGAAAGATTAGATAGAAAGAAAGATGGATAGATTTGTTAGAAAGAAAGATGGATAGATTAGTTAGAAAGAAAGATGGATAGATTAGTTAGAAAGAAAGATGGATAGATTAGTTAGAAAGAAAGATGGAAAGATTAGTTAGAAAGAAAGATGGATAGATTTGTTAGAAAGAAAGATGGATAGATTTGTTAGAAAGAAAGATGGATAGATTAGTTAGAAAGAAAGATGGATAGATTAGTTAGAAAGAAAGATGGATAGATTAGTTAGAAAGAAAGATGGAAAGATTAGTTAGAAAGAAAGATGGATAGATTTGTTAGAAAGAAAGATGGATACATTAGTTAGAAAGAAAGATGGATAGATTA